ACAGAAAGGAGCTTCCAGCTTCCAAATCTAGCAAACGAAGATAATCGCAAGAATTCTTTTATGATGTTAAACGAACATAAACATACCAGAACTCTTAATTTAAGACTTTCAACACATGCGCTAAGCGACTTTGATAGGCATATGCTATTTTTACCATTATTTTATTCAGTACGTTTGTATTAGCGATAAGCTCATGTACTGATGATCGTGAGATCAATTCCACCCATCAACTTTTCGGTTAAATTTTCATTTGCCCTTACCTTCCATGTCATCTCATCTATGTATGATATTCATTGCAATGTATAGACAACTAAAAAAGTTTTTTGGAGAAAAAGTTCTGCAAAAAGTCCTGTTTATGTCCCACTGCTGGGCAAAGGCAGAGGTTATTAGAGCATAGACCACCACCCTACCCCACTTGATTAGCGTACCGTTTTTTTTGTTATTATTTAGATAATATACACGTTTTCTCACGATGTTTTCCTTCACCGCTTAGCAAGTGAGGTCAGCACTTTAAATAAACAAGTTCATTTGTGTTCAAGCACTGGTGATCAAGTATATTGAACTGAAAGCGAGCGCTCGGACAATGAGCTATCACGGCTCAACCGTTGGAGATACTCGAACATGATGTATCGAGAAATTGTTTGTCTCAAACAGTTAAATAAAAGTTCGTGACATCATATATCCTGATACTGATTGCAGGCATTTATCACATAGAGTTAAGCAACATAGTTCAGAAACTCACACTGAGACATGTGATGTATATGAAGCGTGGCAAAAAGTTTGACCATTGACATGGAACTTGAAATTCACAAAGTGCATCATTTTGGAGACAAGTTCTTCGAAGATTATTCTACATCATAAATACTCTTCTATTAATCTCCGAAGAATTTTGAGAAAAGACTTCGACTGTTAACTATATTGTTTCTTAGGCATTATAAGCAATGCGATAAAAATAATGTACTACATGCACGCAGTAGGGTATAGTAGGCACCATTCTTACGCCGGGTACATACGTACATTAGTTAAAAAACACAAATGACAAGCTAGCGGACGTTTCATTTGGATGTGTGCATAAGTGGCCTTGCTATCAATACGTCAATGTAGTTTCACGCCATTCCCACCACGGAGAGCAAAGTGACGGATAGAAACGTATTTTTGCGCTCGGTAAGTAATTTTTTGATTGACGTTTACGTGCATCATTACACTAATTAATATGAAAAGTTTTTCTACCGGTAACTAGTAAATATCTTTAAGATGGATATAAAAAGAGGTTGTATTTAATAATGGGGCACTTTTATACAGAACCCCACGTGTAGTAATAAATTCGTACTCATATGCCGATTATTCATGTATATTTTATTATAATATATGTATATTTTATTATAATATGTATATTTAAATTGTTTATAGTGCTAATCTTTGCACTTAAGATTGAACATTCAAATATGTAGAAAAAGTGCGAAAAGATTGTCGTCGCTGTGGGAATCGAACCCACGTCTTCGGCATTCGCGGCCTGACGCTCTAGCCACTGAGCTAAACGGCTGATGACCACACCGACGAAAATCTTAACGCATTCCTCTACATTGTTTTCTTAGCATTTGAGGCAATGCTTGGCGCCATCTATTGTTATATCCTTTCCAGCATACAAACAACTTCGAATATCGTTTTACAACGATAATTCGAACGAGAGATGTCGCCATTGCTTTTTTTAGAAATTTAAATTGTTTATAGTGCTAATCTTTGCACTTAAGATTGAACATTAAAATATGTAGAAAATGTGCGAAAAGATTGTCGCCGCTGTGGGAATAGAACCCACGTCTTCGACATTCGCGGCCTGACGCTCTAGCCACTGAGCTAAACAAGATTAAAAGTTCAAGCTATGTTAGACAGATTAATGAATTGATCGCGGGTGATGACCACACCGACGAAAATCTTAACGCATTCCTCTACATTGTTTTCTTAGCATTTACGAGCAGGTAGAATCGGTTTAGCTGGGTAGAACGAGAAAGCGACGCGATAGGACTTTCTGTCAATAAATCAAAGACCAAAGTTATGATGATTGACCGAGCTGGACAATGTGCACGTACGGGAGAACTTGCAGATCTGGAGTGTCAGAATGACTTTGTGTACCTGGGCTCAATGATCAGTGATCAAGGGGGCTGCGAGAAGGAAATTCGGAGACGTACGCAGATGGGCAAAGCTGTCATGGGCAAAATGTCAAGGATCTGGCGAGACAGAAATATCTCCAACAAAACCAAAATGAGACTTGTGAAGATGCTGGTCTTCGCGATATTCCTAAACGGCCCCGAATCTTAGTCAATTCGCGCAGTGGATCGGAAAAACATCGAACCGTTTCAAATGTAGTGTTGGAGAAGGATGTTGCGCATACCGTAGACAGACGTACTACATTAAGACTAAGCTCTCCACAATTTGCTATCAACGAATCCTAATTTATTTTGTTCACATCGCCCGTAGGCAGCCAGATAATTTTGAAAAGCTAGTTGTAGTTGTGAAAGTGGATGGCAAAGACCAGCTGGGCGATCACCTACCCGTTGGTCTGATCAAGTGAAACTTGTAACTGGGCTTCCTGTTTCCACGACCTTGAAGAAGGCCGAAGATATAGTGGAAGCAGCTCGTCGCCGATTCTCTAAATTTTTTTCAGGACGGACACGACCGACGATCAGTAATGAAGACCATGAAGCAGGGGGCAGGGGCAGCTTTTTTCTCTATGAACCGGGCCGTTGTCCACCTAGCTACGCCACTCACATCGGTGGCCCATCTACTGCGGAATCACTCATAAAGCGTGAGGTTATGCGACCCTTTTACATTTTGCTGACGATTGCACACTGTATAGCTAACCAAGCGCGCAGTTCTTGGCTGAAATATCGTTTGTACTCAAAGAACCCGTATATAACAGACCAGCTTTAAAATATTCTACCTTAACCTACTAATAAAATATAGCATGATTTATGACTTTATTATTTGTTTATATTTATGACTTGATTATATATTACACACAAATAGTACGAGTAAATAGTAAACTTTGACTAATAATGTTCAATATTAAATTACACTGTTAAACATTACAGTACTAAAAGATTACTTATAGCGCATACAATTGCAAATATTTTAAAAGCTTAATCAAAATCATTTCAGCCTGTTACATTTTAGAGTCCACTACTGAGCATAGGCTCCCCAACAGACGGTCGCGAAGCTCGATCCTGAACCACCCGTATCCATCAACTACCCACACATTTGCACAAGTCATCACTCCATCTAGTGGGGGGAGGGCTTCTATCCTGCCGGCCAGTACCAGGTTGCAAGTCCAGAACCTTTCAGCGGTTCTACGGCCTACATGTAATGCCGGATTAAGCAAGCGCGGAATTTCGTAAGTATAAATCTTAAGTACAATTCAATGCTCAATACGTTATTTGCCATCTATATGTTACAATTTTTTGGATAATTAATAGTCTAGTAGAATAGTCGCTAGTAAAGTTACTAAATAATGTTGGAGTGTTAATAAATTTTTTTCGCTATTCAAGTATGTAAAGTGTTCACCACTCGGGGCTTTTATAACAAAACAAAAATTTATACAACACGCATTTTTTACTAGAGATAGAGATATATTAACTCTGACACTATAAAAACACAATATTCTTCTAACAATATTTTTCTAGTAGCGAATAGCGAATCGACACAAAGAGAAAGGTTTAGAATTCTCAACGACAATCTGATTGTCCTAGAAATTATTCAAATAATTTAAAATCTATTTTTATTAATCATATTAATGTCTATATTCCAGTGAAATTGATAGTACCAGTAGTAGTAGTAGTTGACCTTAAATGATACTTTAAATAGTTAAGCAATGTGCGCTTTTTGCCCTTTATCTCAAAAACAGTTCAAGATATAATTTTTTTATAAAAATTTGTACAGAATTTAATCCTCTACAATATTTATACTAATTACAAATATCATAAAACCCATAAAAAAAGAGATGGTTGCATAAAATGTGCAAAAATTCGGTTTTTTTCTTATCTTCGACCTCCTACAATAAGTAGGTTTTGAGACAAGTTTTATCCTACCGGTTATAACCGCTATAAAGGTTTTTACAATTTTATAGCTAACTATCTCCAATTCCAAAGTGACCCATAATCCTACGGGATTATTTCGCTTATATGTTATGAACTTATTTCAAGTTATACATCGGTTTATTGGTAACAGCTTGAGTTTTGGACATTTCCGTGTGTAAACTAAAATTTGAATATCTTAATTATTATTTTTAAATTACACACGTGTTGATGTTTTAAATTAAAATTTTCTGGGTGTAGTATTATTACTGCGAGGACAGCACCCTTGCTGTCAACCTTAGCTGACGGCTAGCAGTAAGAGGTCGTGCCCCACGATGTCGCACAGCTCTTGGCGCTGATCCGTCCAGGCAGTGTTGTATTGCGGTGCGGGAATAAATGATATGACCGACAAATTTACAGCACAAGCGTGGCGCGATCGGGTTGCCGCGAATTGAAATTGAATTTGAGAGCGAGGGAGATTGATATAGAGCGGTGATAAAAGGGATAAAGGGGAGTCCCGTCCCGTATTTTCTAAAAAAACTTACTGTGGTAGGGCCACGCAACAGTCTGCTGTTGCAAGAATGGAAAAGCGCGTCCAGGCAGTAGAAGAGAAGACCGACGTGAAGGTTGATCCTTTCGCGATTCGTCTTTTGAGTCAAGTAACCAGGGCTCACAGTTTGAAAGGTGGTTACGCATCTGCAAGCCATCGGTTTTCATACATTAGGTGAACCGACCGATCGCTTGATAACTTGCCACTGGTAGGGATGAACGCTAAATCAGGAGGTCTGGAGAACCACATAACGTATAACGCATAACGTACACTATAGAGATAAGGATTAAAATTATTTTTTTATTTACTATGAAAAAATGCAATTCAAATACCCTCACTAGAGACGCAAATGGGCAATACAATAAAAAATATTTGTTTGAAACATGTCCGAGTATCCAGGATGTGCTAGGTCTGTATATCATATATAATGAAAAAAAAAATTGACACATGATAAGACAAGACTAGGTGACACCTTGATACCGGGCCATAAAATCCAAAAAAAAAGACTAGGTGACAATGACAAGTGTCAAGTAGCTTTATGCCTTTATGCTGTGCTGTGTGCTTTTTTTGTGGAATGATATATTAGAGATATTAAAAATCGAAGTTAAATTGGATTTAATTTTCAATAAAATTAAAACCAGTTTCGTAAAACGTATTACTTCTCGGTACTATAAACGGTGAAATATCAAAATCAATTTACTATTACAACTACGATTTGAAAGATTTAATAATTTGTGGCCCAATTTTAAGAACCCAAAAGGTGGTGATGTTGTCTTGTTTCAGCTGTTTTGTTTCTAATACTTTTTATTTTATGTAGATTAATCAAATTCCTTATTTAATATTTTTCCAGATGCAACAAACTCCTGATCCTAGACGCCCTGATCGCGAACGCCGTTTTAAACCTCCTCCGCCAACATCAGCACCAACAGAAGATCTTACTACTGATTACATGAATATTCTTGGTATATACCAATAGATTTGAATTTTGTTTTAATATAATATATGCTTATTTAGGAATACACCTAATTATAATGTTTCAGGAATGGTATTTTCAATGTGTGGATTAATGATGAGATTAAAGTGGTGTGCTTGGACAGCTGTGTTTTGCTCTAGTATCAGTTTCGCAAATTCAAAGGTTTCTGATGACACCAAGCAGGTAGGTATATCCTGTGTTGTAAGAATGTGTTACAAACATAAACTTTACATGGACAAAACACCCAGATGCAAAACAATTAACTGTGGGTCACACAAATAGTTGTCCATTGCGGGAATCAAATTGCACCGACGCCAATATCTTGTCAATTGCTTCACAGTCGCCTCAAATATTTGGTTATATATAAATAATATTTTCAACCCATACTGAACTCTTGAAGACAGATTGAAATTTAGTTTATTTTCTTGTAGCTTGTTACTTATATGTACTCTCAGTGAACCATAAATTAATTTATATTCATTTCATATTGTCATATTTTCTTCAACACTAGTAATCAATAACAGAAGATTACTTAATTTTCTTTTTTTATGTGAAAAGGTAGCAAAAACAAGCTGGCGGTTCACCTGATGTTAAGTGATAACCACCGACCATTGACATTTGCAACACCCGTAGGACAGATGCATTGTTTCCTTTTAATAAAGTGAGCTCTGGCTACCTCACCAGACAAAATGCAGACGTATAATAGTTTCACTTCACACTGGTCTTCTGTGAGGTTGTGGTACTTCCCCGGACCGACCTGCCCATTTGTGCATGGTCCTACCACAGTGAAAATATTATATATATATAATAATATTATATATATATATATCTAATGATCAAAATTCATTGTATTTGTGGCTTCAAGTGAAGTTTTAGTCAGATTCCATACATATTTTTTTTATTTTAACAACAGTATTATATTAAACAATTATTAATAACAATATTTTCAGATTGTAAGTTCATTTATGCTTTCAATTTCTGCGGTTGTGATGTCATACATGCAAAATCCTGCACCAATGTCTCCACCTTGGGCTTCTCTGACAACATAATAATATTTGTAATACAGATTATAAAAATAAGATGTACCTATCTGTTAATAAATATGATTTTATTTCTTGAATAGTTTTTTGTGAGCTTTATCATTCCTGGTAATATATACTCACTAAAAGTAAAATATTGGTTAAATTACTGTATAAAAAAACTTATTAAAAGTAATTATTTTTATTTTATACACACCTACCATTACATATGCTAGTTACTGGGTTGTAAGTTTTTGTCCACATATTTTTGTGTATTTAGTTTCAAAGTAACATGCAATTAATAACAGGATGCAATATACTAAAGTATACAATATACAACTAAAGAGTACAACACGTGAAATGATATGCCCTAACTACAACTAAACGGAAAAATGCAATAATTGCATACTTTAACTTTAAACTTGGTACTTGTAAAATTCCAAATCATTATTTGGTACTTGTTCAGCTATTTCGATAAATTAGACTACGCTGATGACCCGCGCTTGCTTAGGTACACGCACTTCGACATGCAAACCAAACAGCAATCTACAGCGTGAGATGTTCCTCAAAAGCCTCAAAATCAATACATGGAATACCCAGAAAATGCGAACTAAAGGAAGGCACGTCGTGCAGTAGCTACGGGCCCGTAGCTAGTGCACAACGCGGAAACTATAATGCCGTCCGCTCTGCGGCATCTCCGCGATCCCCAGTCCAAAGATAGACAATTCAAATAATCTTACAGGGGACGAAGAAAGTTAAATTACAATAAATTTACAAAAACATGTACCTGCCTGATGAAAGAAAATAATACATTCACGGAAGAAATAAGTCTTTTTTATCAAAATAAAAAGTTTCGACTTAACTACGTGATGATCAAATGAACGGATGCAGACTAACAAACAATATACAATACCAACTTAATGTAAGAGAGATTCAAAAGCGCCCTGTTAATGCAGTAACAGGTTGGTATTAAACGCTAAATTTCCGACTCGATGCTTAGGGCTTAGGGATACCGATGACACATGCTTCCTGCCACGTTTCGGGGAAGGTGTAGCTGTCGAGGAGCGTTCTTTAACCTCTCTTTACTTGTGACTCGATTTGCGTTAGGCTGCGTTTTGTCCCTCAACATCTGTCTGAAGTTATCCGGCAGTTTGAAGTGGCAGTCACAGTGAGGATGTAGGTCAGGACCGGAGATCGCCGTGAAGGCGGTTATTAAAATAACTATTTTTGAGGACCAGAACCAACGTTAACTCGACTAGTCTACGCTTTCACGCTATTTACTACTTGGCGCCTATAAATTAACTGACCTGTTTCTAAACTTACTACTGTGCTTATTAAAGTGTAAATATGCCTTTTATAATAATTTCTTGTATTTACGCGATTACACATTATAAATGAAACTAATTTTACGGATTTATCGCGTTTATTTTTAATTTTAATTCCCGACGTTTCGAACCCTTTACAGCGTTCATGGTCACGGGACAGACTGAGGTGTTAGACGTCTGATTGTTATAGTTAACCCGGGCTACCGTCAGTTTTTGAATTATTAATTGTGTCCGATCTATGCAGAGGGAGCTAATTGTATCTTGTCTTGCAGTAGTGGTTCGTTTGGGCCTAGATTTAATTTTATTGATGACAGGATCCCAAGCTGATGGTAGTACCCAACCTTCTTCTCTATTGAAATTAGGGTGTTTTTTAATTTCAATAGCCTCGCGAATCATCCTTGGGAGGAATCGGTGTTCTTTTGCAAGGATCTGTGGTTTGTCAAACCTGATGTAGTGGTTGGGCCTATTCAAAATGTGCTCACAAACTGCAGACTTGTTCAATCTATTGTGTTTTATGTCAGCTATATGTTCTTTCACGCGGGTTTTTATTGCTCTTTTCGTTTGACCTATGTATGGGTTAACTATGACAATCAGACGTCTAACACCTCAGTCTGTCCCGTGACCATGAACGCTGTAAAGGGTTCGAAACGTCGGGAATTAAAATTAAAAATAAACGCGATAAATCCGTAAAATTAGTTTCATTTATAATATGCCTTTTATTCAAGGTGAAGCAATGAAGTATAAATAATCCGTAAATACGCCAAAATAAAAAGATATGCCATACATGTAACGAATTGTATTTAAATTATTTCTAATACGTACGAAAAGGAGCAAAAAGAGCAACCAGATCACCTGATTAGACCACTGCCCATTAAAAGTAGGAGCAGACGCTCTTCTTGATGGTCCCTAAGTAACTTAAACTAACGAAAACTTTATCGGAGCACCCCCCGTGATATAATATGATAGAAATGAAAGAGCTGCATCATCTCTTCGCAAAACTAAAGGGTCAAGGCGATCAGACAGGTAGTGCTCTCTAAAGAAAGAGATAGGACAAAGGGTGTCCTCTTTGAGGTAAATACGCATACCTTTGTCTTCTTAAAGTTAAATTGGACTAGATTTATGAAGAACAGAGTAGGAGCCTGGATGCGCTTCTAGTTATTGTATTCTGTTCTATGTTATCTCAACATTCCAGGATCTAGACCCAGAGGGCGACCCAAAATCAGGTGGACAGATGTGGTCAGACAAGATCTACGTTCCTGCAACGTTACCGAAGATGACGCGTCGTATAGAGCGAAGTGGACGTGGTGGGTCCCATCATCAGATGGGAATAATTATTGCACAGGAGAGAGAGAGAGATTACGCAATACGGCATTATAATAGCATTTATGATCAGGAGGACATGTGTGACAGCGCGTGCGTCTCTAATCGCGTCAGAATCACATTGTCTTCAGTTATTGACACTTTCGCTTAACTGTGGTCGTCGGGTTACGCCCACATGGTACTTACACTTCTTTTCTCTATTTTGTGGAGCTGATGGCCCGTCATAGTGATTTATTTGAAAGCAATTGGGGTATTACAATCTCTGCAATCTGTAGCATAGGATTGGCTTTGGCAACACTAAGCGGCTTTTATCATTATGAGTTTATGACAGACAAGTGAGAACCATCTTAGTCTTACACATATGTTGAACTTTCGTCTTTCAATTTTATTCATGATAATTTCTGTATATAATTGCAAATATTGTAGGATTTGAAGTAACAATATATAGCGCCGATTGTTCGTGCAAGTCTTATTTCACATTTATCTTTAAAGGTAAACACTATAGGTTATTCCAAAAAAATATTTCATTTTATAATATTTATACACGTGCATAAATTTAATATTTATTTTAAGAATAACATTTTTACACATCACAGTATCTTCAGTAAAAAAATTATAATTCTACAAATCTGTTCATGTAATGTGATAAGTATGTCCTTTTTTGGCAAATATTTACACAAACTCAATAGAGTTCTAAATCGAGTTATTTTAATGATGATATTCTTCTCATTTAAATTTTTATACCCCTTTTGGTATAACGGTGTTGCATTAGTATACGGTAGCACGCGTACGGTGGGGTGGGAGGGGCGGTGGGGATGTGGTGAGCCCACCTGTAAGAGGGGGGGGTTGCGGAAACACAAAGTTCTAACCTAATTTGTCTGAGTTGGATTGCTCTGAATTGGGCTGTCAACCATACTGATGATATCAATAAACTTAAACAATTTGAAAGACCATTGAAATATAATTTACCTCTGTTATATTTTCTATTTCAGTCTCTTTTTTTTTAAAGGCAAAGATTTACTGTTAGTCAAAAATAATTTTGTGGTCTGAAATAACATGTGTTAAAAGATGATATAATCATTAACGTGTCCCATTCTAGTGTTTTAATAGTAAATATGTAAATCTTTTGGCCCGAAATACGAAACGATACTGTTCTAAATGATTCCTAGTAGTTAACCTATAAAACTTAAAAAATTAATTTCTCGAAAACTATGAATTTTTGCAAAAAATCATTCTAGTGTTATCTTCAATGACTTATTATCTACCTATTAAAATTATCACAAACATCATGCTATCATAAACTAAAAGCCAGTATAACTGAAACTACAAGTGATTTAATAGTATTCATACTTACAGGATGGCCCCGAAAAAGGTAGAAGAACCAGAAAAGAAACCTCTTATAGGAAGAGTGGGTACAAATTTGAAAGTGGGGATTGTTGGTGTGCCTAATGTAGGGAAATCTACATTCTTCAATGTTCTCACAAAAAGTCAAGCTGCTGCTGAAAATTTTCCATTCTGCACTATTGATCCCAATGAAAATAAGTATTTTTTATTTTATAATATATTTGCTTCATTTCTGTTTCTTTCTAGAGAAGTTTAATATACAACCATTTTTTGTTAAGCCAAAAATAAGGGAACAGTTACCATGTTAATCTTGATCATTTGAAATTGAGTAAAAACTTTTTAGTTTTTGTTTATCATATTGATTGACATATAGATTTATTGTGACACTTACTCTGTTTTTAAATCATAAAATTTGTAAACTAGGAATTAGTTGTGAATTATGATGAAAAGTAACAATATCAATTCAAAGTACCAGCTCATAGATAAATTTAATATTCGTAATGTTAAACCTAATAATGATATGATTTATCATGGAGATATAAAATTAATAAGTGGAAACAAGTTAAAGGTAACAGATAATGAGCCTAAACCATTAGCTGCTGCTGTAGTGGGCCCAAACAATACAGCTGCTCCTCTTCCCAATAACCTGGACTTCTACCACACTTGGACTGACATAGATTCTCAAGAAGCATACTTAAACACAAAACCAACATGCTATTTAATATTAGGCAAGCCAGGAACTGGTGGATATACTCTCGGAGAAAGTATGGCTAAGAAATTAAATATTGTACATATAAGTCCTAAAAATGTAATAGTTGATGAAATAGAACAAAAGAGTCCAACAGGAAATTGTATAGATTTTAATTTACGACATAATAATACATGCAAATTTGACACTGTTATAGAAATTATGAAAAATAAATTAAAATCAGGTGCAGTACAACACAGGGGCTATGTTATATCTGGGCTCCCTTTAGTAACTTCTAGCAAAACCGTGAAATATTTTAAAAGAAGGTTATCTACAGAAGAATCTGTATCTATTGCCGAACAATTGGTACTTGATTTAACTACTAATTGGTATAAAAAGAAACCTAAAGAAAAAAAAGGATCAGATACTTATATTTCATCAAAAAGCAGTGAATTTATGTTTGAATTTGAAAGTGAACATGTTGAAGAAGAAGAAGAAGAAGAAGATTCCGTGGGAGTTGTAACTGCTGAAGATGTTGTAGCATTGCCAAAGTTTGTTTTAGAACCGTCATGCGGCGTTGTTTCATATAAAACCCATTACTTGAACTCAAAAAAAGCTATGCTGTTAAATCAATGTCAAGAAATGTTTGAATTTGAATTTAAAGCCGATGTTATTATTTTTATTACATGTCCAGACCCAGATGCAATTATCAAAAAAAGTCGCAAGTATTTTAATTATTTAGCTACTTCAAATCCTGTTGGTATTCCGCAGTTTTCTGTAAAAAGTGAGTCTGGAATGTCATGGCCTAATAAATATCTTGTTCTTGAAACCATAACAAATCCCTCTGAAAGTGTTATGCTGAATCGAAAATATAATTGTCGATTGCCAATAAACTTTAATTCCAACTCTACAAATCAATTGTGTAATTACAATAAATATGTAATGCCTTATTTGGAAGAAAAGATAAAAGATTCAAAATCTAGATTTATTCTGAAAGTAGATGGTCGATACACTGCTCATGAAATGATAAATGTTTTGTCAGGGAAACTTCTCTTATTGCCTATTAAACCTGTTTTAATACCAGAGCCTTTGTATCTTGAAGAGACTTCCGATGATATAAATGATTTTTGGAGATTAGCTGAAGAAATGAATGTGATCAAGTACGGGGCAAAAAGATTTTATCGGTATGCATCACAATGGTATAATAGATGTCCAGTAGAGCTTAAAAAACGACATGTTAGCCAAGGCTTAGGAAAATTTGCAGTTGCTTTTTTTAATCACATATATCTTTTATCATCTCTCAATGCCATGATAGAATTTTGCAGAAATCCCCGGCCGTTTTTAAAATTACAGTACTTAGAGCCTACTTGCAGAATAATAGTTATGGGCACAAAATCATCTGGAAAAAGTATGATATCGAGCTGTTTATCATGGTTGTTTGATACTCCAGTTATATGCTACAGTCATTTTCTTAATAATGAAAAAAGAAGAAAATACGAGAACTTCGCACAGTCCGTACTATCTGAAATAATGGCTAACATAGAAGACAAAAGAATTGCAGATTGGGAAGTTAAAGAACAAAATAGAATTACTGATTTAAATTTGTGGTTTGCGATGACCTCAAAAGCATTACAGCACTACATAATATTATCAAAAAAAAATTCCTTAAATAAGAGTGAAGAAATTGATAAAAATGTAGCAAGTACAGAAGACAGTTTTATCTCGAAAGAATTAATAAGTCTTCGTTATGAACTTTCTTTCTTACCAATGTTAGAAGATTGGGTTGAATGTGAGCAAATTCTTGAAAACGATAGGCTATTACAATACGCGCCTCAAGAGCTAAAGAGTGAAAACCAAAAACCTGCAGTTCCTGTTCTTGGTGATGAAGATGTTACGAAAGCGATATCTGAATATATCGTAGATAACGATCTTCAAAAGGACGTTGAACCTACGATACCAGAATTAATGCAAGAACTGATGAAGATATTAAAAAGCCTAAACTCTGAGACTCAAATTGGTTCAAAATATGAATTAGTTTATGGAAAGTACATAATAGACGGTTTTCCTTCAAATCCCGAAGCTTGGGATTTTCTTTTCGGATCTATTTCATTTCCTGATTATATTATAGCTATTACAGAAAATAGAGAGATTGATGAGGAAATTGCTCAGCATTACTTAAATTTAGACTTGTGTAAAAAAAATCATGACACGCGTCTTCCGTTGGTTAACGATGATTTAGTAAAAATTAAATTGCAATCTAAAAATTTTCCTACAATTCAACCAATTACAGCTGAATCGGTCGTTCTACATCTGCTTACTGCTATTGTAGAATCTATATTTACTACAAAAATTGAAGTTCTGGAATATCTTAATGATTCAATTGTCAAGTTTCGTGAAGAGTTTGACATATTGAAATCAAATATAAAAGATACTTTTAAGATGTGCATTGAAGTACAAATTGAAGATAAAACAGATGTTCAAATATTAGAAGAAGTTTTGTTAAATCTACGCAAAAGTTATTGTACAATCGGGAAAACTGGTGTAGGTGAACCAGTGGAAGACTACGGAAGTGATGAAAGTCCATCGAATGATTCTCTCCTTTATAACGATCCTCGGATTTTATGTGAAACCAATATTTACTGCCCTGTTGCTTTTTATGATTACGGTGTTTTGTGGGAGGGTAAACAAGAATTTTGCCTTCAAAAAGATAATAAACTGCACTACTTTATGAACGAAGAATTTTTGAACATGTTTCAAAACGATGTAACAAAGTATCAGGCCTATAATAAACCATTTAAAACAATTCCAGCACTTAAAATATGTGTGATGGGCTCTATCGGAAGTGGAAAAACATCTGCTTCAAAATTAATTGCTAAAGAGTACGGATTAATTCATATAGATTTTGGTGAAATATTAAATTGTTTTCTATTACCTCGCCACTTTAAAAAAGTAGGTCGTCAATTTGAAAACAGTTTTACTGATCCTCCAATTGATGAGGAAAATACTTTGGAATACAATTTGAACGAAGAAAATTTAAATTTAGAGTCTGAACTACTTTCCAACGAAAACGAATTAAGACGTATGATTTATAATTATTTGGAAAAGGGGACATCTTTGTTATCTTTACTAATGCAAAAAATATTAAAGAAGTTATGGTTTCAATCTCCTTTTTCTACCACTGGTTTTGTGTTGGATGGATTTCCAAAAATGCAAAGTGATGTTGAAGATATGATACAAAGCTTTTGTATCCCAGATTTAATAGTCGAATTGGAATGTAATTCCGAAATATCAACTCAAAGAATGGCTCCACTAATGTTTAACAACTGGAAGACACAATTAAAAGAGGAAAAAATTAAAGTCCGAATAAAGTTAGAAAATGAGAAAGAGCAGTGGACACAATTCATAATGAAAACAGTGGTTATTAAACTTATTATAGAAGAAATTCTTAACCAAATTGCTGAAGAATCAATTGAAAAACAAAAGAGCGCTTCAATTCAAAGTGCTATTATTGACGCACATCCTTCTGGATTGTCAAACATCGATGTGAATTTATTTAATGCTTATAATAATACAGTATTGGAATATCCAGAACCAATTGATTCAAGCCAATGGGAAAAATCAGATTATGTTCTTGAAAAAATTGTTTTAAGAATTGAAAGCACATATGAGATAGAAGACGAAAATATACAAGCTTCCAAGGATGCTTTGGCAGACCAAAATATAAAAATTATATCTGTAGATGGGACAAGACCATGTATAAAGCTTAGTAGAATTTTGCTATCTAAAGTAGCAAGTATTCGACATAAACGTGAAACCTGTTTCGAACAGACATTTGTAATTGACCTGGATGTTGCTGAAATGCTATTATTAGAGGGCTTTTTTTTCTTAAGCAAATTTAACCGACTGTGTCCTGTTTATATTTTTGATAATCCTGATGCCATTTTTAACCCATTCAATATTAGTAAAGCTAACAATGAAGTAATGCCTGTTATTCATCGGTCACATATTTACTTCGTTCGTAATGAAATAAACTTGAAGAAATTTAGAGAAAACCCTCTAAAATATATCCTAAATGATAATATAAAATATTTTATTGATTATCCTTTAAGGATCGCAGTTATTGGACCACCAAAATCAGGCAAAAGTGAACTGGCAGCGAAACTTGCAAAAAAATATGGATTACTATGTATATCGAAGGGCATTGTCTTAAGACATATTTTAAATTATCAATCATGGACGGATTTAGCACAAAAATTAACTACGAAACTGGTTAATGGCGAGAGTGCCAAAAATGATATTATTATACAAGCCGTTCAAAGTATAATAAATAATTACTGCTCCACATCTCACGGGTATATTCTTGATGGATTACCTAATTCGCCTTATGACGCGCAGGAACTACAAAAAGCTGGTATTTTTCCTGTGCATATATTTGAGATTAATGCTAATAAAGCCGTTGTTTTGAAAAATTCTCAAAGCGAAGTTTATGCTAAAATAATTAAAAGCAAACCACCTTATCCAAAAAAATTTATATCTAATAGATTTTTGAAATACAGTGAAACGTGCGAAAGCCTAAGAGAGTATATTAATAATGATACGCAGAATATATCTATATTAGATGGTAGGCAATCGAGATGGAAATGTTTTTACGACGCCAATAACACAATCATTGCGAGCTTTCCTACAATTCATAACTATTTAAAAAATCGAAACGCGAATATTGTCTCTCTGTCAGGCATGTGTATCTCTAATCGCGATTTTGAACAAAAGATGACAAAATTTAAAAATATGTGCCCCGTTTGTCTACGCCAAAATGTTTTAAGGCACAGTAGCTATCCAGTCGATAAAACAGGTGTTGTACAATTCGAGGAACGCTTTTACTGGATCTGCGCCGATCATCTGGACATTGTGTTGAAAAGTCCCGAAAAGTTTTTGGTAGACAATATAGATATCCCAGAAACACCAGTGGTTGTGAAAACGATAAATTATTGTAATTTGTTTGAAAATGGAATTTGTGTTGTGTCTTACGCGGAAAATCTTCCTGCACAACGGATCGAAAGGGGAAAGGAAGATTATGCCGCGGCGTATAAAGACAAAACCTTCTTGTTTTGCAGCCCGACGTGTCTCACCAAATTTTTGGCTAAGCCGCACATGTATTACGACATATCAATATTTAAAGAAAGCAAAAACTTTCCGAAGCTGTGCTTGAAGAAGCTTCCACATTTAGGATACTTGGAGCAAACCGTAGGAAACATTATAACAGAAGCCTGTTGTACTGTCAATGTTTTGCGACCGAAGTATCCCGGGTTAAGCATTCAAATGTCAGCACTATTGCACATAGCCTTGTATCTCAAGATTCACAACACATTGACTAAAGATTCATATTTGCCATTATACAAAAAAGCCCTGAAAACTTTCGAAAGCAGATGTCAGCTCATTTCAGACGCTCGCACGCGTTTAAGGTCTATGGACAATCCTTTTTGCAAATATCCACGATGTTGTATCACAAGAGACGCAATGAAGCATTTAGACTCTGGAACCGTTATTAAACCACCTAGTTTCAAAACTATGTCGATGTCATCCTTTGATTTTAACTGTGGTGATGTCTGTTGAGTGTTTCGTAATGTTTTCATTGTCTTAATTATAATAAATTCCTTATAACGAATTCATAACGCCAGTTTTTATTATAAGTAGTATATTTCTAATGGTTTGATTAATAAGAACAGTAATAACTTATATAAAAGGTCATTTATTTGTTTAACTGTGTACAGCCATGAGACAATCTTCACTATAGCACGAATGGGCAGGTCCGTGTGGGAGTGCCGAGACGTCACAAAAAACATCGTGAAGTCGAAGTATTACACTTCTACGTTTCGTCCTATGAGGAAGCCGGAGCCAACTTTATAAAAAAAATAAAGAAAACATCGTTATAAATAAATCATAACGTTGCTTTAGATATTAATTGGTATCGCTGTCTAGTCTTTTAAAGATTGGGTTTTTTTTTCACTAGGAATATTAAGGATGTAATTGATACCATCGTGGGTTTCAAATCTAGTCTCTAGCTCTCGGCTTTCTTTCTTTCTTTCTTTTCTTCTCACAGTAGACCGGCGTATAGTGGAACTTCTGCGTTTCGTCTGATGAGTGAGGTAGCCGGAGCCCAATTTATTAAAAGGTGGCACATAAGTGCTGCTCTAGCGATAACTCTAATAAATTTCTATTAAATAAATCTTATATCTAAAAAATACCACGTCTACTATAACTATAACACCTTATAAGTAAAGGGAAAATTCCGAAAAATAAAAAAGTTGAAAATTCTGTTAAACTTTTTTAAAATCTAAATTTGCGGATATCTTTTTATCGTATTGACTCAGGACCTTGGTTTTTATAGGGACTATAGAACTCAGTATCTGGTATAAATTTCAACTTGTTAGGTCCTCTCTTTCCGGAGAAAGTCGGTGGTGACAGACGGACAGACAAGAGAGTGATCTTATAAAGGTACCTTACCTTTTAAAGTACGGAACCCCTTAAAACACGTTTTTGAAATATTAATTTAAGCTGCCATTGCATCGCTAATGTCTCAACATATACAAATATGTTCGGAAGTAGGGAAGAGATGTTTTAAAGGAGTAAACACAGCTTTTATATTTCACCCTCACATTTTGTTGTATTGTTTTGTTTCTTTGGGCACATAAATATGTACTAACAATAAAAACTTGTAGGCACAGGAAGTTTTATACAGATCAAAAATAAAAACCAATCAAAGTTACAATGCATTAATTGGTGAATTAAAAAAAATGACTTCATTATTTTATCTTCAAACAGCGAAATAGTTTCAATTAATATTATGTAATTATTTATTTTACTTATAGTTTACATTTGTTCCAGCACGTAGGGTACCAGTCCCGGACGAGAGGTTTGACTATTTGTGCGATTATCACAAACCAGTTAGGTGAGTGTTTAATTTTAAAGAAGTTACTAGAACGTCGACTGAAATCGATAAAGAAATGTTTTTCAGTTTTTGCAAAAATCGCTATCTACCATACAGACTGAATCTACAAATAGCTATATCTACCAACTCGGGTATTAAATACTTAAGTTTCGAGCTTAAATTTCACTTTTAATATTGCGGCTATCGCATTATTTTATAACATTTCCTTATATTTTCCGATCTCTTGAATTGTTTGTTAAACACGAAATGTGCCACTTGAGCAACTGCTTCTACCTTGCGAGAATTTTGATATAATACCATTAAGAAAGTGCAATTGCGGTATTCAATTATTTTGAAATTTGGATCAAAATTTGATGATGGTATTGCTTACTAAAATTTATGTAACACTATAAGTTAAGTGCAACTTAGCTATCATAGAGCATACACTATTGTATTGGATCAAAGGGCATAAAGGATTCATGAACCACCGTTGTATTTGTATTGTATTCTATGTAACTGTTTGGGTAATAATTCTCAAAGAGCACTGCGAGCTAGAAGATCTATTGTCTTCACTCTACTACTACTTCACATTATTCTGTGTTGTGAGTACGTTTTAAATACATAAATGTCACGTGGACAAACACCCAGACCTGAAACAATTATCTGTAGGTCACAGAAATAGTTGTCTCGTGTGGGAATCGAACTCAAGATCCCTGACGCCGAAGACAATACCTTGGCACACTGCGTCACGAAATCATCTAAACAATCTGTTACATGTAAAAACAACAGACTTGCTTCATAATTATTGTGTATTTTCCAGTAAAGTCCCTGCTTTTCTGAACGTAGTGGATATCGCTGGGCTGGTGCGCGGCGCCGCTGAGGGGCAGGGCCTCGGCAACGCTTTCTTGTCTCACATAAAAGCCTGCGATGCTATATTTAATCTATGCCGTTAGTATACTTATCATTCTTTGTAAATGTTTTACGTCGTAACAAAATGTTTTGAAGTTATACAGCGTGTCGTTACCAACGCGACAATAAATGAACACACATATAGAGGATAATTTTTTGAAATTGTATCAAAAATTTACATTCTTCAAACATCAATATGTACAGAGTTATTAAATTTTCCAAAACAAAGAATTTTAGAACACCTTAAGCATAAAACTATAACGTAAAGTTCATTTGTAAAGGTCACAAAGCATATGAATGAGTTGAATAAATTTAAAAGAGACAAAACATACTGTTAGAAGGAGAGGCTTGTAATGCGACGCTGTGGCGCGAGTTGTATAGGATGTTACAAATTTTGTTTCTTTTTTACTTAATTAATTTGTTTGAAAAATATTTTTTTTAATTATGGATTTTGTTTAACGTTAATATTTTTTATGATTATTGGCAAGTAGCGTTAGACGTGTGTTCATTTATTGTCGCGATGGTAACGACACGCTGTATATAATTCTTCTGTATGCTTATATGTCACTGAACTCCTCCTAAACGGCTGGACCGATTTAAATTAAATTTGTTGTGTGTGTTCAGGTGCATTCTAGAATGGTTTAGATTCAAAAAATTATTCAAAAAAGTTTGAAATTTTCGAATTTAAGACGTGTCTACAGGACAACGTCTGTAGGGGTCCTCTAGTATACTTATACGTTGTTTGTGTATAGTCGTACGACCGTATGTAGTATTTTTAACCCGGTTTAATAAATCTGCACTTTATCAATTGTCCAAAATTGAATGAGCTAATAAAATTGCTAATTTTAAGTGCTGACTTATCTCGTGCTCAGCGGCGAGGAAATCTGCATATTTTCGAAATAATAAAATACAAATGTTATTTCCAAAATATGCAGATATGTGAAGTTCTCCAATCCGCAGTAGGGTCGCGTGGTGGACTACGTCCCAATACCCTCTGTGCCATTGTGACATAGGCTGTTACTTTAGTTTTTGCCTGAATGGCGGCATTATCGCATCAATAGGGGCATTCGAGGACGAGGATGTCATCCACGTGGACGGTGAGGTGAACCCAGTACGTGACCTGGAGACCATTGGCGAGGAGTTGCGGCTCAAGGATGAGGAACAGCTTATGCAGAACATTGAGAAGCTGGAGCGTGTCGTGAATCGCGGCGGCGATAAAAAACTGAAGCCCGAATATGTAAAGTACCTTTACATTACATTTAGATACACCTTATGCAAAACTGCTAATTAAAAAGACATATATATACATATAGACATATATATAAAGACATATAAGCTAACAAAGCTAACAATCAGTGTGATCTTCTCATGACTATTATTGTTTTTGATAACAAATAACTCATAAGGGTATGGAGAATCACAATAAACATTATTGGTATTTGTTTCTAAATATAAATTAAAATATCCCAAATCCATCACTTGAGTTTTGATTATAATAATAATTTGACATATTTGGCAATTTTGACATATTTTATTATAATTTAACAGTTGTTTGATACTATTGTAATATGTTTATTTATTTTTAGGACTCCCTTCTGAAGATCAAGTCTATTTTAGTAGACGAGAAGAAACACATTCGTTTCGGAGATTGGAGTGCAGCAGATGTCAGTATTTTTGATTTATATAAAAATATTAACAGAAATATTTTAATTCATTCAAAGTATGTGTTGCACTGATTATATAATCTAGAGCCGGCTAAGGAATATTTATATAATTTTTAGCAAGTCAAATGTTTTTCTATACATACACCATGTTTCAAAAAGAAAACAGCATTTGGAATGAAAAAATAGAATGTTTAGAGAAAATATCTGCGTTACCTCCACATTTTAACCCAATGCGTAGTGTACTTTGTGATTCTACTATATAGCGACAGCTTACATTCTTTAGTCAGAAATTTATGTCTATGGTTAAATCCTATGTCCAAAACACATCCTGAGGAAACAGCTTTTCTCTATGAAATTATTCATTAAAAAGTAAAGTCGGTACTTTTTACTTTTTAATTTTACTTTTCAGATAGAAGTCCTCAATAGGTATTTGTTCTTGACCTCCAAACCAGCTCTCTACCTGGTCAACCTATCTGAAAAGGATTACATCCGCAAGAAGAATAAATGGATTTGTGTTTTACAATAAATATTCAATATCTATTCATATTTGAATTTATCTCTGATGAGTTGAATCGTTAATTAAATAAATTTAATAACAGAGTTAATAACAATTTTGAATATTAATACCTATTAAAAATGTTATCACAATCTTCACCACTTGTTTAGGTTACCAAAATTGAAGGAGTGGATTGACAAAAATGATCCAGGAGCACCCCTGATTCCATTCTCTGGGGTTCTGGAGAGCAAATTGATGGATATGGACGCGACAGAGAAGCAAATATTCCTGAAGGAACATAATGTCACCAGGTAACAAAAGAATGATGATTATTAAACGAATAAGTGAAGATATTTATTAACTTTAAGACAAGGAGTGCTATGATACTTTTAGTGGTATTATAAAATGCAACCTTTAGCAATATTCGAATATCACTTTTATTGAATAGTTTTACTTTGACTACGGCAAAATAATTTGATTGTCATTAGATAGTGACTATTGCTTTAAAGGTCCTTGTTTCTACATCAATGTACAATACGCGCTAACTTCATTTAGATTTCTACTTTTTATACGAAAATCAATAATTGCCTTGTTTAGCTGAACATGATATTCTTTTTCGATAATAAATTAACTGCCACAATAAAGTCCCATGTAGCTTCGGGGAAATCTGTGATATAGACCGTAAAGCAAAATTATGTTTAGATGTTTACTCTACCTGAGAAGAAGGACAAATTTCCCAAAATTAGGATTGATAAAAGTCAACTTCTAAAATTTTTATAATACCTATCGAAAAAGAAATGGAACCCAAATGATAAAATAAAATAATAATATTGAACTCTTTAATGTTATGTTTTATCAATTTTTCTGAGTATACGGAATAATATTAGAATTTTATTGCCTTTTCAGTGCATTAGATAAAATCATTGTTCAGGGATACAAAGCCTTACAATTAGAGTACTTCTTTACCGCCGGCCCTGACGAAGTTAAAGCTTGGACAATACAGGTAAAATCACTATTTTCTTTTTTTTTCATATCTGAACCTGACAACATATTTTTATATGTTAAGCATTATAATAATATTTTGAGAAGTACTATTTATTGTCAGGTGTCAGAAAAACATTTGTTTCGTAAATAGGAACCCTACACAGTGCTATTAATAAATTCTAGAAGCCAGCTTTAATATATGAATTTACATCACAACTTTACTATCATAAAGATTGAGAATATCAGGAAAACCTATAAAATGGAAATTTTCTATGCATACATATTTTACGTGAAGAAACTCAGCTCACCCTTGCATAGAATGCCCATATACATAACATATATTTTACTTACCTGACATATATTTCTGATATTCCAGAAAGGCACTAAGGCGCCACAAGCTGCCGGCAGGATACACACTGACTTTGAGAAGGGTTTCATTATGGCTGAAGTGATGCACTTTAAGGACTTCAAGGAGGAGGGCACAGAAGCTGCGTGCAAAGCTGCAGGAAAATACCGACAACAAGGTAACATGAGTTTCTTTGAAGAAATCTCTAATGTCATGGAACATTATATTAATTTACTGTAAGGATAAACTTATAAACATTTATTATCAACAACTTGTGGTGTCCGTGTAGACAGACAAATTTGGTCTCCATGGGCTTTCTTGTCAAAAAAGTGCCGGCCGCTTTTGCCGCCACGGTTCCCTGAACGACATCATCCGTAGGGCTCTTGTTTCCTTCAATGTTCCATCTATTTTAGAGCCCTGTGTCATTTATCGCGACGGCGGTTGGAAGGCAGCTGAAGTAAGTAAATGGTTTATGTTTAGATTATGTATTTGTGCCATTTGCTGTTAAAACTGAAGGTCTGTGGGGTCCCCGCACATTTTTTAAAACTTTATGTCCTAGTCCTAGGCTTAACGCCGCGGCTGTTGACAAGCTGCTTCTTTTCTCGCTCAAAGGTTAAGCATAACTATTCAGTGAGGAAATGCAGCTAGCGTTCTTGGCACCATGCCACGTGGATTAGGTTTATTAGATAATTTGAAATTTTAGATTTAATCTTGTAAATATTAGATAATTTTCAATTAAAATTATTACATTTATACATTAAAAAAATTATCTTTTATGATAGTTTTTTTTTTATATAAAAATTTTGAGTGCCCCAAAAACAACAAACCCCTTGCGCAAGCAACAAGGGCCAATAGAACAGCTAATAACTCTTACTTAACTTTGAGAGTGCTAAAATCCCTTCAAACAAATGAATACAATGTATTTACTTGGGTTCAGTGAACTTTGATTTGCGGCAATACATTTGTTATTATGATTATTCATAGCTTTTTTCGAACATTTCAGGTCGAAATTACGTTGTGGAGGATGGGGACATCATATTCTTCAAGTTCAACGCGGGCGCTGGGCTGAAGGACGCCAAGAAGAAATGACGCGGCAAGGTCCTACTGCTGCTCGTACACATGCTGTACCTCAACCTCGTTCTCTACACGCTCATGCACGTAGCCGACGATTAGAATAAGCCAAGCTTATAACATTACGGAGTGTTTTTTTTTAAACCCAACAAATAAAATGCGGCTTCGTTTGTGTAATTTTATAATAATAATAATATATTACAGATTAATCGTCTTTTTGTAAATGTATTAAATTGATGAGGAGTTGTAATTGATATAGTTTTTATATAACCTCGACTAATTCTTCCGTGCGAACGATGTTTTTCACTTCGCCCTCTGAATTTTTCACGTCGTCGTTGTCGTTGTCGTTGTCGTCATCATTTTTCCCAAGTACGCTTTCCAAGATCGATTTCAATTGTCTCAAAAATCTTTTGAGGTTGATGTGAGATAATATCTCCTGCTCTGTGACGGGGGCTAACTTCTCCTTATCTTTTTCCGATCTCTTGAACAGTTTGTTAGTTACGAAAGGCGCCACTTGAGTAACTGTTTCTTCCCACTCCTGCGGGCATTTTGATATAATTAAGAGAGTGCAACTGCAGTTAATGATTTCGACACGTGGATCAAAATTTGCTGATGATATTGCCTACTAAAATTTATGTGCACCATAAGTTAAGTGCTTACTTAGCATCATAAACGATACACAGTAGGTAGTAATTAAAAATAAAAATGGTCCTGTGAACATTTGGCCAAACTTACGGCCGTTTAGAACAGTAGAATGAATGTACATAAGACTACTTGACCCAAGAGACTGGTATGGCCACGTAGCAGAAGCTGCTACGTACCCTAACACGTAGTAGCTTCTGCTACAAGCGTGACTAGCGTACTTAGAGAAGACCGTCGTGAAGGAAGTATATGCTTTCGCGTTTCACCTGGTGAGTGAGGTAACCAGGACCTACTTTCTTCAATGTTGGCGACTCATCTCCATCAACTGTTGTTGATGTCCATATGACTCGGTTATTACTTAACATCAGCCTACTCGCTTGATAAATTTTTTGACATAAAAAATAATTTCGGAATGTGGCCGTAGCCATCTTTATAGCTTATATCATACATATTTTAGGTGTCACGATACGAATGCAGAATATGAAGCTGATATATTGTGTCAATGAATTAATAAATATAAGCATTATTTAAATGACAAGGTTTTTCATTAACATCGCTTAATGACGAAAATAATAATGGAAATCATCTAATTGAAAAAATCTGAAACCCTTTTCCCAGTGGCGAGAAGAACACAGTAGTGTGCATTATTCTTTATTGAGCGTAAATTATTTTGCTCCAGGCGATAGATAGACTATAAATTTGGTACTTACTTGGCAATCGTCATGAAGTAAGTCGAACGACAGCATCTCTTCAATGAGGAGAACTTTCGACGTATCTACCGAAGTGTTTCTCAGTATATGAACGATAAGACGACCCACGGAAGCGAGCGTATTCCCTGCCCTTAAATAAAGAATTTATTACATATACTTCACGAAGAAAAACATGTAAAAAGTGTGTTTAGTGCATCGAGCTTTATTACGTATCTACAATGTTGTTAAAGATGACACATGTCTATACCAAATTCCAATTCCGTATAAATAAAAGCACTCTGTGGTCCATACAGCGCGGCGTTTTAAAATTGTTCGGCTTTGCATTATATGACATATGTAAGTGAATGACAGATGATATAGAAGGTATGACACGAAAAGAGATAGCAGTCTATAGAATTGCAATCTAATTACACCAATTGGCGCAATTTGTATGCCTCAGTTTCGGTGCACTAGTGTCATATCTACCTCGTATTTGTATATAATATCATTGCTGATTGATACATATAAAAATTTAATGATGTTGATGTTTACGTGAACAGCGCATGTTTTATATATTTAACATTAACATATATTCTTTATAAATGATAGGTCCTGCGATAATATTTAGATGGCTGCCAATTCTCAATGGCTCCTACTATCGAATGACTTATCTCGGGTGTGCGATATTCTGCACGTGTTACCTAGTCCTCGAGGTGTTCACCACATACATTCACTTAGAGCTGCTCGCGGTTGTACGTCCTATCTTGGCCTACCACCTGCCGACCCGAACTGAGCTCGAGTTGTACAAGTAGACGTTCTCGGCTTACTTATATCCAAACAATATATGCAAACAAAGGGAGCGAATTCAGGCCCAACAGAAGCTGTCTCTGTGAAATGTCGTGACGTCTAGAATGAGGCTATTGCGAGTGATATGAAAATCGAATACCTTAAAGGCTTTATTTTTCGTCTCGCACATCGCATGTTCGATTGTGCCGAAACACCCCCACCTACAAGGTTTCGTCCCATTGCATGTGCGTCCAACTGAATGGCTCGCAATCCCACGAAACACTGCTGTTATCTGTCCGGTGAGCCTAGAGCAGCTAAGACGCGGCAGCGCGAGAACGACGTCCAATATATAATACTCGCTGCTAGCCTTCGTTACGGAGATAAATTCTCTTATTTTTCCAATAGGTGCAGAATTCGATTATCACCGACTTATGTGCCTTTAGATTTTTACATCACCCGAAGCTAAATACAGACACCTGAAGCTTTATTAGTATTTGCATAGAATCGTAACCGCGTCATTCCCATACCATCATCCGTGCGAATATTAGGACAATTATCCCGGGGAGAGAGTGCGGCTCTTTGAGTCTACCACGTTTCTACCTATAGATTTAAAATCTGCACAACATTCACCTGCAAACTACTTCCCTGTTATGTATAATTTCTTGAACAGTTTTTATTACACGCTCATACGTGTCTCGCATTAGAAACTCCAAAGGGTCACAATTCCCAGGAGGCAAGGAGCCATACTGAACTAATAATCTCTTTTGCACGGTGGTAAATTGCCTTTGTAATATATTAAGCTCATTCTGAAAATAAATACTTTCATTAATAAAGGAATACATTTTGTACGATAGTTCACATAGGCAGACCTACTTGCCTCCAAACTCTTTAATTTGAGCCTTTCCTTTGAATGTGTTTCAACGCCTTTTAGAAACTTATGTAACATATGCGTGATAAAATCCTTAGTTGGCATAAATGTTATTACTGCTCCGATATTTTTATTACTATAATGTTCGTTTAGTCGGTGAACAAAATAATCTAAAACGCCCGATATTTCTGTAAAATCATTTGATTCAATTGAATATTCTTGGGCGGTGCTTTTAACAGTTACTGTGGTATTTGACGTTCGATATTTAAATGTTATGGCATCCCTCGTACCTCCATGCTTCATTAATTCATCCCGCGTAAAATCTGTAAGAGTATTTATTCTTATGTATTACAAATATTTTCATATAGAACTACATACATGGATACAATATACCTGTAAATATGTTTTCAAAGTCCGAGCTTGGTTCACTGACGCGAATAAATAATTGGTGTTGATTTCCTAAATCGGTGCCTGTGATTGTGCAATAAAGACTTAAAGGTAACAAAGTGGTCCTGTAGAATGTAACTATTTTCCCAGTGTGTTCTACTAAGGTAAACAAAACCTTAACTTTGGTGTCTGATAAGTCATATTCATTTGATAATAATACACTAGTTTCTACAGTCTCAGTATAGTTCATATCTTCAATATATTTGACTGGCTCAGAAACTTTAAATGGGGAACTGCAGACATATGTTATTTGTAAACTGTTGATTAATTTGGGCTCTTGACAAGTTATCGTTATAAGTAACGGACAGGATATTTCTTTTAAATTATCATTGTCTTGAGTGAATCCTCCGAAACCATTTTGAACGGATGTACCGACTTCTGTCGTTATGGTAAGAGTATTTTCAACATCGGTTAAATTGGTAGCCGTTCCTAAAAAAGAACAATACATTTCTTGTAAAATGTAGTAAAAGACGAAAAATTTTTCTAAAATCAAATCATTATACTAGAAATACAGATATTTGAAAGTAAAATTCAATATCAACCAGCTAAGGTTCTTATTTTGAATTTGTGTCATTTAACGCAGTTAAAATTATTTTCCACTTTCTAGAATCTCTTATAGATTATGCTCACTTTTAGACGACTTCTTTTAAGATCCAGTATTATAAATACTTCTATGCTTAGATGAAGCCTTTTGATGCATTCATTACCTTTGTCATCAGCGAAAATCTGTTTCAACGATTCTTCGACAGACTCCAACTCAGCTTGAATTTTTTCTGGGTCCAATACTTCGTTTATAAGATTAACATTCGGATTTAAATCGGGTTCTGTTCCAAGATAGTTAACAATAATAATCCCATTCGGTGCTAGAGTAACAATGCCACCCGGCAAGGAATTTAAAAAACATCGGGATAACGCTACTGCCTCAGTTATAAGATCACAGGCCCATAGCAAAGTTGCTCCCTCGTATATAAACAATTTTGAGTCATCCGATGCAACCATTACAAGAAGACGGGCACCTGGTTCTACAAATATGGGATTATTATAGTATCTTGATTATTATTCATGTACATTTGAATAATATAGTAATCTAGATTATTCAAATGTACATGAAGATATATTATATTGGACGTTAAAAACTTTAGGTACTTTACAACTATAATGCATTTCCCATCCACACTATTCTTTCACTTTCTTATTTTTTAGCACTTTAGGACAAGGGCTTGCTACTAGTAGGTGAGGTCGTCACAACATGTGCTCCTTCCTTTCCTCTATTAGCCATCTGTCTGTAACTCCGTCATCTTAACACACCTCTTTTACAGACGTCTTCTTCCAAAGAATCCATCCAAGCCTTTCTCGGTCTCCCTCTATGTTTACCCTCCAACCATTAAAACTACACTTTTCGAGTCACGTTCATTTAACATCCACACGTACTTACGAAACGACCGTACAATTTAATACAACTAATTATTATTAGCTTTAAGTTGTTTTTTTTTTTTACTTAATTTAAAGTAGTTTAAAGAAATAAATCTCAAACCGTATGTAGAGTATTTTACTTACCATAATACCATCCAATCAAATATGCGTGAAAACAGATCGGTACAAAATCAAACCTAATAATGTATTTCATTAGTCCATTATCCTGGAAGCAGTAGAGATGTCTTTCGCCCAACGCAATTATGCTTGAAAAGTTGCTGCTTGTCTGAAATAGATTGCAGGAATTATAAAATAAAAGAGTATTTTCTAAAAATATGAAAGTCTTTATTGTTTATTTGTGTACCCGAATAACTTGAACGGCGGATATTTCTTCCCCGGCACTGTACGTCCACTGGGGAATATTAATTTTCTTCTGACGTAAGCTCAATTCACTCATTTCTCTTAATTGTTGATAGCTAAAAGGAAAAAGTTTATAACAAAAGACTAACGATGCAAACGCGATATTTGAAATAAATTAATTGCTTTACCTGTATATTTCCAAAGTCCATGTGGATTTGCAAATTACGAAGAAGTCACTACTAGCTACATACGATACTGGTCCAGGAATTAAGATGTCGTTAAATATGCACATAAATAGGAATGTATCTTGATCGAAGAAGCTAAGAGTTGCATCCAATGATTGCACACATATAAGATCTCGAGCTTTCGAGCTGCCGAAAGGACCCAATGTTAAACTATATCCCTTTCTCTTAAAGGAATGTCTTATAACGGGCTCTATATGGTTTTGGTCACCTAAAATTATCTCAAAATAATAAGAGTAGTTTAAGTTTTCTCAATTTCGTAGTTATTATTAATCAAAATATTACTATACCAGCATCTGTAAGGCCTCCTTTTGAATGAAACTCATATATGACATAGCATTGTGGATGTAAAACTATTATTTCACGATCACTGGAAGCTCTACAAATTTAATGAAAGCTTTAACAACAAGAAAACTGTTAAAGATCTGTGTTCATAGTAACTTTCGTAGCAAAGTGTTAGAACAACTTTTTTGGAAGTTGTATTATTTTTCCGTTGCTGCTACTGTTTGAGTACAAATTATGTAATAAAATGCCAAAATCGATTATGTCAAGATAATCAAAAAAACTCAACATCGCGTTATATATACTCTTGTTATTAATTACCTTTAAATAATTTATCTACGTACCCTATAAATTTTCCAGTATCAATTTGGAGGATAATATCAGTTAAATCCATTTCAAGAAGCGACGAATCATGATTTAAATTTGGTTTGTATAGTTTTAGTAGGGTGCCTTCGCCTAATAATATACAGTCACTATCATTGTGGGAACTGAATTTGTCTATTTTCATACAAGTTACTTTAGGTGTCTTTTCATTTGCCTCTACACTATGAGTTTTTGCATTGGACCACCATTCTTTAGCTTTAAACAAAGACATTTTATTTACACAGTATTCAGCTGCATTAAAAAACGAATTGTTTGTATATGCTTAACGCACCATGGCAACGTAGCTTCTGCGGTAGTTTCGTAGCATCCTTTGTATACGGTTAAAAATACAGTTTAAACCAGATTTATCATATATATTTTTCTATTAATTTAATTTTAGGTAGAAATTCCCCTGTCGGGGAAGGTTTTATCTAATTGAAAATAGAAAACGTAGTTGGATCTAAACACGGTCTGCAGTGCAGTTGGCAAATATAGTTTTATTATTAACTTTAAATCAATAATCCGAAATCTGAGGGTTTCATTAATTGCATAGAAAAAGATTTAACAACAAAAGAATATTTTTTGTAACCAACTTCGTTATTTACGGAATAATAAAACACTAAACTCACATACATTCAGTGTATGTCCTCACTAGTTCGGAGCTAACAGAGGTCCTTCATCTTTCCACTCACCGTGATAACCGTTAGGTCCGAAAGTAGTCGGTACATACACCGATTCTACGTGAGTTTAGCCGTTTTATTATTTTGTTTCACAAAACTTTTAATAACTTCATTATATTTGTATAAAAGGAAATTAATTATGTGTCATAATTTTTTGACTAAGGTTATTTAATGTTTAATAAGGGGCCCATTCACTATCCTGCCTGGCAGTCCGCCGCTTTATGCAGGGTTGTGAACGGTGTTGCAGGCCTGCAAAGTTTCTGGCAACACCGAGCAGGACGCGCCTTGCATCCTGCAAGGGACCTGCAAGCTCCGCCCACCGCTTGCAGTCCGCCGCGCATGACCGTCAGTGGTTTGGCCGTCCTGCATAGCGGCAGTGCTGCCATATGATGAAAAAAAGATCTTAACTCTTATCAAAATTGCGCTAAATTATACGAAAATACGGATGCTAACTTAGGATTTTTTTGTCGTAAATTTAGACAGTACATATTTACAATAGAAATTTTGTTTGAGGTAATTTTTTTAGAAATATTTTTAGGAATTAAATTTTATTCCCATGTGTGAAAAAATCTACACAGGAATAGGTACTTTATTTTAAACAAAAAAAAAACGTGTGCATCCCGGGAAGCGACTGATGTGATAACTAAAACTAAGCTAAAAAACTATTTTATATTGAAATAGTTTAACTTGATAAAAGCTTATGTTATTACTTAAATTTTATGTATATTAGTATGATAATGTGAGGAATGGTTATTTATTAATAAAACCTTTTATCTAATAACAAGAAAAACTCCATTTTCTTTTTTTTTTTTCGAAACGACACGTAAATCCATAATTATTACAACAACAACACTGACACTATTGAGAGACGATGGACGGCTTGCAGGATAGTGTGTGGGCTACATCCTGCTTTGCAGTCCTGCACGGCGGACTGCCAAGCAGGATAGTGAATGGGCCCCTATAAGCAAGTTAATGGATATTCAGTGATATATGTGTTGGCGCTGGCAACACTGTATACGTATGACGTTATCTACTCGAGCCAAGGGACACATGGTCGTATGGAGCAGCGGTCACTTGGATTTCGGCTGCGTTCCCGGACGGTGATATAACCACTAGTGCTGCTTGTAGTTATAAAAAGTTGTTAATATTCATGTTCAGTAATAGTTAAAATATTAGGATCAAGGTAAAATCGTTAGAACTCTTATATATGTATATGAGATTTTAATCTCAGTCTACTAAATTGAATCCACGATAAAACAAAATAAATAGTTTTCAATGTAAACATTTTTCGATTATTTTTGCAGAAGACAATAAAAGACTGGGACCGCTATGTATGTTTAAACAGTTTAGTAGCTGTGCTTGATTGTTATAATGTATAGATTAATTTATCAACTCGCAGGTTAATTAAAGTATTTGCCATATTCACATCGATTTCAACAAAATATAAGAGGAATCCATTGTATTGTTACTGGGATCAGGAAGGTATTTTGTAATTAATCAAAAATTTTAACTGTCTCTTAACTAGATATTATCTAATTACTAATGACTATAAATAAGTCAGGATGTGTTTAACCATTTACTAATACTACTTAAATGTTTTTAGCAATGCATGTTTATGCGCATAATGAATATTAAAATGTGATATATAAGATTTTATTTAATATTACAAAACAATCAACAACATTTGATTCCCGATGCTTTCTCGTGCAGCTCCCAGCATTGATCCCAGAACTGGCTTAACCTCTGTTCGTGGTTCGCGCAGAAATGCTTAAAGTCCCTCAGTATCCTCATTTGGAAGGTTTCGTCGCCCGTAGCCGGCTGCGCCCATTTCCATTTCTTCGAGATCATATGATTCCATGACCACAAGAAACCCATCTGAAATATAATTGTTAACATTAATGATCACGGTAAAGATAATCATTGTAAATAGAAAATTTGTAAGCGCGTTATCATTACCCTTCTGCTGTTGTCATAATCGTCCTTGTTTTTTCCGCTCACGTGCCAGGATATGTATCCTTTGTGAGGACTCGGAGCCACCTCCGAATGTACGGGGTACCTGATACAAATTAAAGGGACAAAAATAGGTAAGCTTGCTTTTGTTTCGTATTTATAGTTGGGCCTGAATATGTTACTAGGACTTATACAAACGAATTAACGTACATCTTCATGCGTGTCTAAGAAATAATAAAAATAAGTATTTCGAAGGTATGCGAAGTCTTTGAAGTCGTCAAACGCAGTGGGGTCGCGTCTCAGACTATATATAAACTAAATGCAATAATATTATACGAGTTAGATATGACACTAGCGAACCGAAACTGAGGCACTTAAATTAAGCCAATTGGTGTAAATAAATTGCAATTCTATAGAATGCTATCTCTTTCCGTATACGTTCGATATAATTTTGTCACGTATATATGTAATTTATTAGAAAGCGGAACAGTTTTTAATCGCCGTGCAGTATGGACATATGTCATTTTATTAAAACATCATGGAAAAAGGAGGCCTTTGTCCGGCATTGAGACATACTGTACATACAACGGTCTTACGTACAGTAGTAGTGTTTACTCTTCTAATGCAATTAATCATAGCGACGTTAGCGGCATTGAGAGGTAGACGTCAAAATCCAGAGTTGCAGGGCTGAGAGTTCAATGAATGCGATAGATGCAACAGGAAGACCGGTGTGAAGTGCAAGTGTACTTTTGCGTTCCGTGTGAGGTAAATAGGCTGGCAACGCATCTACAACCCGTTCTGGTGTTGTAGATGTCAATGGGGACGGACAATTCACTTAAAATCAGGTGAATGGCCCAGCTCGCTTGCCAGAATGGCGCTTTAAGACGTCGAAACACAAAGCAGCAAGAGCTGTATGCGAAACCGCGGTATACCGACTACAAACTAAGACTTTACTGTCCACATTGTACGACGTTGCATTGCAAGTCGACCGCTGACGTTCGCGTTGAGCGGTATGGCGCAGTAAGAGGCCGAAGGAAACACAGAGCAACAGGAGCCGTACGCGAGGCCGTGGTATACCGGCTACGGACTATGACTTTACCGTCCTCTGCCTACAGACTGTGACGTTACTTTATATTTATTGTTATTGGCCGCGCACGTGAGTCTACCTACCAAGAGACCAAAGGAAACACATAGCATTAGGAGCCATACGGGAGACCGTGGTATACCGGCTACATACTATGACTTTAGCGTCCACAGTCTGCAGACTGTGGCTTTGTACGTCGGCCGCTCCCCTGTTCACATTGAGCGGCTTGGCGCATTAAGAGACCGAAGGAAAAGCAGGGGCTGTACGCGAGACCGCGGTATACCGGCTACAGACTAGGAATTTACCGTCCACAGTCTGCAGACTGTGACTTTTTACGTCGGCCGCTCACCTGTTCGCATTGAGCGGCTTGGCGCATTAAGGGGCCGAAGTAAACACAGAGCAGCAGGAGCCGACGCGAGGCCGTGGTACACCGGCTAAGGACTAGGAATTTACCGTCCACAGTCTGCAGACTGTGACTTTTTACGTCGGCCGCTCACCTGTTCGCATTGAGCGGCTTGGCGCATTAAGGGGCCGAAGTAAACACAGAGCAGCAGGAGCCGTACGCGAGGCCGTGGTACACCGGCTAAGGACTATGACTTCACCGTGCACAGTCTGCAGACTGTGCCATTACACGTTACGTCGGCAGCTCACCTGTTAGCGTTGGGCGGCTTGGCGCATTAAGGGGCTGAAGTAAACACAGAGCAGCAGGAGCCGTACGCGAGGCCGTGGTACACCGGCTACGGACTATGACTTCACCGTGCACAGTCTGCAGACTGTGCCATTACACGTTACGTCGGCAGCTCACCTGTTAGCGTTGGGCGGCTTGGCGCATTAAGGGGCCGAAGTAGACACAGAGCAGCAGGAGCCGTACGCGTGGCCGTGGTACACCGGCTACGGACTATGACTTCACCGTGCACAGTCTGCAGACTGTGGCGTTGCACGTTACGTCGGCAGCTCACCTGTTAGCGTTGAGCGGCTTGTTGGGCGGGCGGGCGCGCGCGCGGTGCTCGGTGCACTTGACGGCGGTGGGGATGAGCACGAACATGTTGCCCGTCACGTGCACGTACAGCTGGTCGCCGACGCCCTCGTGCGAGGTGCTCTCCACGGTGCACTTGATGAAGCCGAAGCGGCCGGCGATCGCCTCCTGGAACAGGAACAGCCGCTCCGGCCACGTCTCCTCGGGGAACCCTGCACGTTGAGGGCGGGGTCAAGATCAAAATCAAAAATCAAAATCGTTTATTCATCGACATAAGAAACTTACATTTCATCTATCGATAGTCATATTTTTTTTTTTAAATCTACCACCGTTTCGTAATGAGGTTCCTCTAGCGGAGAAAAAACAGGCGAAAGAAACTCCGTAGATATCCTCAGGTCAGCGGTAGAACCGGCAAGAGGTATCAATTCATTCTTAAAACGGGGGTGGGGTCGCGCGTTGTATGCCCTAATACCCGCTGTATGCAAGGGGCCCTTTCTATTAAAGCTGTTACTTTACTTTTAATTACAATTTTCGGATTCCTCTCTATTAGTGGTAATGTAAAACCTTACTTGTAGTACAAATTTTTTAATTTTATACAAAAGACGGCTATGATGATTGAGTACGAATATGAAAATATGAGTGAGATCCACTTAACTTTTTCGTAGATTTTTATTTAATAAGAAGCTTTATATTATCTCAACATCATGGATTGTAGAACTGAGTTTTGACATAAATAAAATTATATCTCGACCCATTCTAGAACATGACCGGACTTAACGGACGGGCATCAAAATTATATTACAAGTTTAACGATTAAAGTGAAGAGTACCCTAAAAAGGTGTACCTTCCGGGATTGTTTAAAATAATGATAAGTTATATACGTTGCAAACAACATTTAAATGTTAAAAAGTACCTTCAAATAAGGCGTTCTTTCCCCTTAACAATGGTTCCTCGTTCAAGGGAACGTAGATCGGCCCTCGCAATGGGTCCGATTTAAGCGTGAACGGCAAAGCAAGGGGATCAGCGGGAATGGGCACCATCTGCAATCGGCAGTTCTGCGCCTTACGCGCCCATCCCATTATCTGTGAACACAACACATAAAATTGTTAAATGAAACTGTTTTAAGCATTTTATCGCGTTTTAATTAGATTTTTAAATTCCCGATGTTTCAAACCCTCCTCAGCGTTTATGTTCACGGGTCCAATTGAAACGTCAAAAAAATCGGCTCCAATTAAAACGCGATAAGATCCGTAATAGTTTAATTTAACAATGTGTGATATTAAATAATATAATAATTAATATTAAATTAAACAAATAAATTAAACTTAAATTACATCAAAGAAAGACTGTATTTAAAGTCTTATTTTCGAATGCTTCTTTGGGTCTTTCGAATTAGGTAACTACAGTCGCATGGAAAACTTTCCCAAACTTATTTACATTTTTAATCGAATAGCATTTAGAACGAATAAATTTCGTTTTAAATAAAAACGAATATAACCATTTTGTTACAGCACCTTTCATCTAATGTATGCAATATAAGCTTTTGCTGCCTACCTGCGATTTTTATATTTTTATTTTCTCTCGTACGAATTTTTTCTATATATTGCATTGATATGTTAAATTACTTACCTGCAATACATAGGTTCTAATATAGACACGAGTTTCTAAATTATTTCAAAACCCTACAAAATCCATAACATTAATTCTCTAAAGAATTAACATATCAATGTTTCAAAAATATATGTCTACGATATAATACAAAAGTCTACGATAGTCCACCCAATAGCCCTTAGTTTAAGATGAAGCAATGGAGAACAAACAAACAATTATTAAATGGATAAACTTTCACCAGATCCGTGACAATGTTCCCGCTGGCCACGGCCCACTGTATGCACATTTCGTAGGCCTGGTCGGGCCGGAAGGTGGCCTGGTAGCGCGCGTGGCCCCACTCGATGCGGTCGCTCTTGTTGTTAATGTCGATGTCCAAGTGCGTGTTCTTGTACAGCGGCACTGCACGCCGGAGAAACGACCTCTATGAGTGCGCTTGGGACGCGACGTGTTCAAAGTCAATGTGTCTTTATTCGATATAGCCTTGTTTTAAGGCCTTATGGAACGTCTAAACACTTCCATCGGTTCACTAAACTAGACCTGCTGTAAGGAGGTGCATTCAATAAGAGAAAAGTTTACATGGACCGGTTGAAGAATAATGTCTGTGAAAGGCTGACAGGGGAAAGTGGAAGGTAAGGGCATGTTGTGGCGACCACACTTAATTTGGGACAAGGACAGGAGAAATAAAAAAGTGCATGTGTATATATGACTGTAGGCTGCACACAACGTGATCGAGATGGTTCCTAACAATAATTTGAGTTTTTTTTTTGGTTGCAAGAGGTTACTTAAAATTGTAAATAAATTCAACAGGAATGAAATATAAAACACATAACGCAGTAACAAATAGAGAGATAGAGAAATAGAGAAAGAGTTAGAGAGAGAGAGAGAGAGAGAGAGAGAGAGAGCGCTCACTGTCACTGTCGCCGCCGTGGTCCATGTAACGCGGGTCGATGTTGTGGCAGAGGAAGGCGGGCACACCGGGGGGCTCCCCGCCAGCGCCGGCGATGTCCACGGCACCCGCCGGCTGCGGCAGCAGCGGCGAACGTGGGCCCAGCACCTCCACCTCCATCCACTCGTTCTCGAAGCTCTGCAGGTCGCCGAGCGGCTTCACGTAGTCCGTCAATTCTACGGGGGACAGAGACGACGCGATCGCAACGTTCATCGGTTCTGATCGAACTATATGTACTCGTACAATCGACTAAAAATATCACATTCACTGCACATTTCATATTTGATTTCGAAGAATACCCTGATGTAACACCCGAGCTGGTGTCGTAGTCAACATCCAGCATTCAATAAAAACACTGCGTTCACCGATTTCTTGTTATGCGAGAAGAGTGAGCGTAATCGTCGCCCATAGATATTTGCAACACCAGTTGGGTTGCATAAGCGTCGCCACTTCATAATAAAGTGGGTCCCGGCTACCTCATTCACCAGAGGATACACAGAAGTATATAACACTTCCATTTCAAACCAGCTAAACGATGGCTGGGTATTTTTATGAACTTCATAAATTGCTCCGGATCTAGTCCCCGTAAAATTCGTGCATCCAATCCAATAATAGAGCTCATATGTTAGTGAAAAAAATTGGAAAAATATTTTGATGGGAATAATACATAGTACGCAAGACAGAGCGATAGTCTCTCTAACCGATTTCAGTCCTGCCTCTTAAGTATATTTAAGCGGGACGAAGTTCATAAGCCCATTTATTTAAACACTATAATACAGAATATTATCATCTTGCAGAAGAGGTAATTTCTAAAATGCAAAAATAAAATATGTATATCGAAGTTGCTGAATCACTCGCACGATTTTCTTTGTAAGAAGAAAAATATTTCTCAAGTACTATTTGTATTTTTATGCACAATTCACAGACATTATTAAATTTACTCGTACCTTTGTCCTTTTTCTGCGGCAGAATGTGGTACATATAATATCCGACAACAAAGCGCTTAGTGCTGTCACCCGACGCATGACAAATCATCTTCTCTTGTAACATTTTCTGAAAACAGTTTAATACAAAACGCTTACGACTAGATAAAATCAATTTCATAAATTCATAACACTTTTCCTAGATGTGTAAAACGTGACGCATCGATATATAAGTTGTCATATAAACTGAAATGCATTTTAAACTGTATAACTACAATAAGGTAATTAATAAATAACTGTGAGGTCGTGATACTTATCCGGACGGATCCGCCCATTCGTACAATAGCGAATAATGTTGCATGGCCCTACCACAGCTAAAATATCGCGAATCTATATACGCACCTCCATAATAACGGTAGCTTTCTCTTGCGTCATCGATTCCATGTTTGCCTGAAGCCAGTGTATGGCGTATATTGACACGAAAGCATGAGACGGCAGGCTGACTGTCTGCTGTAGAAAGCCCACGCCCAATGTCGGATGCCTCATACGCTCTATTATCTCCGACAAGGTAGAGTTTGCCTTCAACTTAGGCTCTATCACGCTGAAAGAAAAAAAATTAAAAGGAATGCTACACGTTTTATAATAGACACTCATCAAGTAAACTATTTTAATAAGACATACATTCATGAAAAAGGATGAAATCGTGCAGAATTCTTGTGACTGTTTTAGAAAAGAAACATTTGAAAGCTCCAAAAGTAAATTATTTTTTTAGCTTAATGATTTCTTTTAGCTTTTTCACAAATAACATATTACTCATGTGACAGCCAAAACCACTTTAATCGTAAAGTTAAATATACTTACTATTGAAATATTGTAAGAACACAACTATTTTATACTTTATACATGGTGATTTTTTAGACGAAGTACGTACTTTGACATAATGTTAATTTAGCATTCCATCATTTAAAAAAATATATTAATATTTTATTTTGACAAGAAATAACCAGAAAAATACCAATTCAAACACTGTTTTTTTTATCTATATGCGCTCAGTGAACAGTTTTAGTGCTCGTGGATATGTTATTGTATTGAGACGGTAAGACAGGGAATTTCTAATATCCATAATGTTTGAAAAATTAAAAATATTCTTTGAAAAAACGGTTAGAAATAATTTTGTTATGTGAGAAGTTTGCATGCGACCAGACGGTTCATATGATGTTATGATATAACCGCTGCCCATGAAAACCTACAAGGCCTGTGGGCTTACAGATGCGTTGTCAATATTTAAAAGCGTGAGTTTACCTCACTCACCGGATGAAACGCAAAAAAACTTCTGAGAGTGGCGAATACTTCCCTCCGAGAGTCTGCCCATCAGTGCAACAGCGGATGCTTATTAAATCTTATCACAGTGTCAAATATCTATTTACCCACCCATCTTCGCACGTATCTTCCGTTTCGCCCGTCTGCGATTGTGTCCTCTCAAGAACAGTTTTAGCAGCAGCCCTGAAACGGTGCGCGTTATAACTTTATTAGTTTCGTTAACAGTTAGTAAAAAAATGTAAAAATCAAATGCACTAATATAGCGTTTAAGCGATTAGGGCAAGGTAAAGAAAGCGGAAATGACAGAGAAAGAAGTAGGGGCTAACAATCAAAGGAACTAATCGAATTAGAAGTAAGCATGCGGATTTATATAGAAGAATAGGAGGTTCACGCATAACAGATTTTGTTAATTAAATAATCTATTTTTAACCTGTTTTTAAATGTCACATATCGGTAATAATCGAAAACAAAACATTCATTTAAAACTCTCATTATGAGACTACGATTGTATGAAATGGAATGCGAATTGAGTGGGAATACAAATATTGCACTAAAAAAGATTCAACAACTTGAACTAAGAAATTACAACTCATTAATGTTTTATAACATAACCCAACTTTTAATACAGAGTGCCACCAAACGGTATAGAATTAATTTGTAAATTTACATTATAACTTCTATTTACGGCCTTTTGAATTTAAAAATCTTTTATGCGCGACCTCAATGGACTTCAATGAAATATAAAAGCACGCACACATACTTACTTGTTGCATTGGCTAGGATTTATTGACTTAGTAGGTGATACTTGCTGGAATGAAAAGTTCGAAAAGAGGATAAGAAATAAGCAACCAATAGGGGAAGCTCAAGCATTCGATTAAAAAAATGACAGCATGTAGTAAGATATAATAAGTATAACTTGAAAAATAGCTGACAAAATCTGTAACATGAGTAAAGGAGAATTAATTTTTTTCGCAGACTATCTCTGAATCAACTGAAATTCAAATCAATTAAAATGTACAAAAGCTTTATGTAACAATTAACTACTCGCAAGGAAGTTTTTAAACGTGAAGTATCATTAGAAAGTAAAATTTAGAAATATTATATTATATTTAACTTTATGATTGTCAATAATAACGAAAAAATAAATAATCAACATCTTTTTAATCAATTGTGTCGGTTTATATTTCGTGTTTATATTGTATCTTTATGATATAGTTATATTGTGTGTATACTATACTTAAACATGTATTACGCTAAATTTGCATAATTTCATGAAACTGAATTATTCAAAAAAATCCTTGCTTATTTTCGAAAACAAATTACGTGTGTGAAGAGAGTAGAGTAATTACAAGAAGACAGCAAAAGCGTAAATTCAAATTCATACACCAAGCGCAACACCATATAGAGAGATGCTAAACTGCGTGAAACATAATTATACGCATTCATTTGACCTTTAAACTATAAAATAAACATCTATAAATTTATTTAAGCTCTTTGGGAAGTTTTACTACATCTCATACGTATAAATATATTTCTGAACGCTGTATTCTCGAGTCTTGCGTCAACGAGTGTATCGAGTGCACAAGTTTATAACTATTTGTAATCATGATATATGAATCTATGAAATACCAACATAAAATATACGATCCCGTTATACATTAATGTTATAAAATAATATTGTAATTTTATCCCGTTTAACCTCCTGAGTCCGAGGGTATGATATTATGGTTTAGTGCTTTGATTTTTGCAACATTACCTATTTTCATGATATAGATTCAAGGAAAAATAAAATAAAAATTGAATAAAATAAAAAAAATTCAAAAAATGATATTCTATATTTAGGACATCAGTTTTAAATAACTATAATCGTGAATTTTTGATGTACTTAATTTGGATATTCGTTTCTAATAACATATGAATTGCGTTAAACTTAAAATTATATTTATTTGAAATAATCACTCTTTGCTTCGTAATTAAGACAATCTTAAAACGTAAAGTATTATTGTGTTGATTTTTAATCACATAAAGACTCATCTTCACAAAAATATAAAAAACATACTAATTTTAAAAAGTTTAGGTTAATTTTATGAAATAATAATTGCTTTTTAAATAATAATTTAATTTTTTTTTAACGTTAATGAGTCTCATAACTTTACATGATCTGAAAATAATATTTATTCAGAATCGGAATCAGAACAACCATGAAAATGGGGCAAAACAACTACAAGAACTACACAAACGTAAATAGACACTGCAGTAACGGCACCTAGCATCTAGCTTTCGTCCTTGCGACATTCCTGCTGCTTTTTTGTAAATTGTAGCATATTTTCTGCATTGGATGTTCTCTTTTGTAGAGTTGGCAAGAGATTTATTGTAATTCGCATATTATTTTGCTGGCTTGGTAGAGCTAAATGTTCATCACATGATTCTTCTTCAGCCAAAGATACTGAGGTTTCCTCTATCAATTTAAAGCTCAACTTACACTTGTACTCGTGCAGTTGATGTATTTTATGCAAGGATTCATTCTAAAGCTTACGTTTCTCATGATATATAATCCAATAGTTTAACACAGTAATGTCAATCGTATGAAAAATAAACCTGATAGTCCTGATAGTCCAACTTATGAGTTTGCACCCGAATCGGGCAAACCGCTATCATTCTGTCCGCCTAGTCAAAGCCCATATTGACATTATAAATTTTGATAACTTCTGGACGCGGAACTTGAACTCATTTAGTAATTTTATTTCAACGTTTACATGTATCAACTCTTTCGTCGATGAAACAAGCTGACATCGGTAAAACAGCCTTATTGTCTAACCATTTCATAAAAGCAATTTTCCCATCTTGCTAAGCACGAACCTCGGTAGTTCCACAGCTCTATTTTAAGAACTTAAGAGTGAGTAAGTTGTGTAAAGTTGGACTAAACACTCCTGTCCAAGTTTGCTTGTTGGATTGTTATCTTACATAGTCCTGCCCCCTCCACGCAGTCGCATCGCACGCCTTCCATCTCGAGCCGCTTCGTGAAGACTGCTCTCTTCTAACTCTGGACTTCAGATGCTCTTGAAACAATGACGATGATGAAAGCGCTGGTGATGAAATTGGTGATGTTTTTAATACTTGATCATCATCAAGAAGATGGATGGATTCTTCTGAGTCAGAGCTATTAGAACCGCCGTGCTTCAGGTGGCTCATATAGGTCATCATCATCAGGAGCACTAAAATCACCTTCATTTCTGTCTTTACCCCGTCAAAAATTTGATCTTCATTTAAAAGTAAAATAAATTAGACCATATTTAAAAACGAATGTTCTAAAATAAGTACATCCATGACTACAACATTACTGTTTAGGAACCGCATGTACTAAAATAAGGACATTGATAGAAATCAAATCATGGAGTAAGTTCATTTGAGTACATCGGTGAAATAATTGTAAGTGGTTGCTGCACAAACATTAGTGAGCCTGTACACACTCCAAAAAACTAACAGATTCCAAAATAAAGTATGATTCTAATGGATTAGCTTAACCCGTCACCTCGGCGCACTAAGCTCTCGTTGTTGCGACGCTATGATCGGTTTGATAGAACAGACTGAGTGAGGAGTTATATTTTTATAAATAAACTTAAAGAAACAACCTTTCGTTCCACGTAAAAAACTTGATGCTCAACTAATTCACTTTGGAAAAATATTTTATTTTTTTGGTTGTTCTAAATTTAGAACGTCAGTACTCAGGAGGTTAAAGAGACTTTAAAAGTGATATTTATAGATCAGGAAATCAAAATTAACATTAAAATTTTATATATAATAGCGATTATTATGTATGTTACAATTTATTTTCCGTGTGATTTAAAATTTAATACTTTAACTGCTTATTGGTTACTTGAAAATCGTTGATCGAAAATTAGTCTGTGGTCCTGTCATCGGGTCATTGAACTTGTGCCACAAATTTACCGTTCGAAAGAAGGCGTTATAACTAATGATGAATAGTCTGTATGGAGAAATCCCAAGTTTTTAAATTATAATTGTCATAAACTTGGGCACGCGATAGCGGAAGCCTCAGAAGCTACATGTCACGTATATGGATACTGACATATTTTCCATCCGAAGCCGCGGACGGTCCGGCAGACGGGTGCTGCCCACTCGCTCTCTGAAGGGAGAGCTTGATACACCGCCCTGCTACACCACACACAACGCTCACGTTAACAACTAATCAATACACGAAACGACGTATCTGCACTTCGGCCGGAAAACACCCTAAGCCGATCGCAGTAAAGTCGATTATCGTGCGACCAAAGCGAAGATACATCCATCCCGGCGTATGGCACTCCGCTGCACGCCATCCGATTCAACGGTACGCTACGAAATAAACATGAGAAACGAGCAAACGATTACATACTAGGTGCGCGGTCCGTGCATTTGCAACTTCAAGCGGTGCCAATTATTTACGCATATCACAAAATAAAGGGGAACAGCACTACACAGAGTTCTAATTAGCGTTACTCGCATATGGTGACAATAATTCATGACAATACTAATTGCAGATATCACTCATAGTTTTATCAGAATTAAGGTTAGCTTGGCTTATATTAATTTCAAATCAGGATTAGCTTCTGGTTAGTCGTAATGTAAGCGCAATAAGATCGAAGTTCGAAATTTTTCCGCCATAGGTATGAGATAGTAAGAGGGAAGACGAACAGCGGAGTAGATTGTGTAAGAAGCGTAATGAATGCTCTATTATTTCACAGATTACATTACTTAGCCAAAGAAAAATCATCATGCACTCAATTTTATTGACGCATTGAGAAAGTTACGACGCTATACCCTACAAATCAATAATTATTTTGTTGCAATATCCTCCTTGTCTTAAATTGAATTAAACACAAAATATGTTCTTCTATAAGCGCTACAGAAAATAATTAATTTATAATGAATAAGTTTGTTATTATAATAATAGTTTTACATGTAGCCAATCGGTGAACAATGTAGTCCGATTTTTATCTAACCTTATTTAATGTTGAACAAATCTACATCGACATAATATATACAATCTTTGTCAACTTAAGTCAAAATATATCAACCAATTGAAAAAGCTACTAACAAAATGTCAGCACATGTAAAAAGAATAACAATAGGGCAAATGTATATTGTGTCTCACTAATTTAAAAGTATTAGGTATTTAATTTTTAATCTACAGCATTTTCTGTGTACAGCAAGGTTCTCTGAAATAAAAATGTATTCGAAGCGATCAGCGAGTGGTTTACAATATCATCCATTCTTCATTAAGCTTACAACCAACTAAAAATAATTTCAAAGGATGGAGACAAAACAAAAATATATTTTGCCTTAGCAAAAAAATGAAAAGAAACACACGAGCCCCCTAGTGTGTAGTGTGTCTGATGTGTGATTCTGTATACCATATTAAAAAAATATACATCAATAAGCAATCACGCCTCTGTAAAATAATAATTAATAAATATTCAGTAATCAATACGCCGCACGTATCGGACCGAGCCGTGGTCGTTACCGGTAATGATAAGTGTAATCACACAATAACTTCAAATCTAAAAATCACAAGTATAATGGTTTATTATTGGCTAAACAACGTTGTTCAAACTTATGAAGTGACGGTTAATTAAGAAAAAAAAAATACAAATTAACAGCGTATGAAGACGCAGGGGGGCGCTTGTTGGTCAATTAACAACAACAATAACAGTTTAACTACAACAAAACTGTACAGGAACAGGTTAGGCTCGGCTAGGCCCGGTACGGCGGACGAATGGCTGTGCCGGTACGTGTGTACCTGCGCGTTCCGCGTCACGATCGAAGTGGAGTGGCGTCGGCGCGTCAGAGCCGGGTCCACCGCGCCCGCGGCCGGCTGCGCCATCTGGAGCACACCGCGATGTACTGTCGCGAACAGCGCGCTATATCGCTTTAAGGCCGCGTCGTACTGTCGCGGCCACTGCGCTACATCGGCTCAACACTCGCGGTACTGTCGCGAATAGCGCACAAGGCGCTCCAACGCCTCGCGGTAATGTCGCGAACAGCGCGCTAAGTCGCGTCAACGCCGCGGTGCACTATCGCGGACACACCGCTATATCGGCTTGATACTGCGCGGTACTGTCGCGAATGGTACGCTATGTTGCCTCAACACCACGCCGTACTGACGCCGACAACGCGCTATGTCGCCTCGCCACCGCGGACCGCCCATCAACGCCATTGAGAGCCCGCCACTCGAGGCATTTCGATATCAAACACAAACCATCCCTTTTTCTGCCCCGTTCGCCACGTAGGTTTGGTCGCCACCAGCATGAATTCTATATTTAAAGTGCCCCACCACACAACTGTATGCACTGTATGACATACGAGCTTTGGACCCAATAAGAAATCATATCACAGACGTTCCAAAATAAAAATAAGTACATACATATCTAGGACACATAGCATGCTCAAGTTCACAATATAGTCAGATGCCTTTGAATTTCATATTATAATAGGTACTTTGTTCATGCGACACCAGACCACCTGCGACTATTTCTCGTTTAAGCTCATTTGTTCGATTAAATCGGTTAATGACATCTCATTTGTATTAACTAATTGATTGATTAGAAGTAAGTCTTCATGTCAAGGTGCAGAACCATGCAGTGCAACATATCTACGTGTTATAATAAGTGCAATAGGAGTTTCATGCCATCTACGTGTTACGATGTAGTTATTACAAAAATAATATGTACAAATTGCAGAATCTAGAAAGTAATCAGATACATATTCTTAAATCTTTCTTTAACGACTAACTATACATTTATTAGATAAACTTGAACGAAGCAAATAATAAAAGTTGTAGTGACTTAACATAATATATCTCATATCTTCTCATGTCCATTATAAACATATTTTTTAATTAAAATTTAAAAATAATTCTTAATTTGTATCTAAGTGAATTGAGCAGTTATCAGTATCTGCCTGGATTGCCACTAGAGAAGACGCTGCGAAAATTTTACTACGTAATCCACTCACACTTGTTTTTCTTTTGGAACTAAAAAAAATAGACAATAATAGTTATTAGCTAGTATCCGAACCTGCGCCCGAGTTCGCTATACTCACTCGCTGCTTGATGGGTCGCTTGACCTTGTTGAAGTAGATCTCTGTCATTTTGAGGAAACCGTCAGTGAGCTGGTCCAGATCTTGACGGGTCGGCGTCGGATATATATCGCAGTGCGTGAACTCGTCCTCTAGTATTTGCTTGGTAGCGGGATTGGTCAATGGCAGCAGCAACGTTCGGAAACGCCAGTACTTCAACGCCTGGAATGTGACAGACAAAATAATATAACAAATTAAAAAAAAATATTCGAATAGTTATTTTAACAGATTATACCACGTGGTACCATTAATTTTTAATTTCTCGAAGTTTTTTTTTTTTATGTGAGCATTTGGCAAACGAGCTGGCGGTTCACCTGATGTTAAGTGATAACCGTCGCCCATGAACATTTACAACACCCCTAGGGTTGCAAATGCGTTGCCACATTTAAATAAAGTGGGCCCCGGCTACTTCACTCACCAGACGAAACGCAGACGTGTAACACTTCTACCTTACGCCGGTCCTCTGTGAGGTCGTGGTACTTACCCGGACGAACCTGCCCTCGTGCAACAGTGAATACTGTTGCGTGGCCCTACCACAACAAAACGTGATCTCTATCTCTATATATTGTACAAAAGTACGGTATATGAATAGTAGGGCCCATTTACCTCCACCAGGGCGAAGTCCGTATCGCCCCTGGTGCAGATGTAGTGATCCATGTAATTCCAGCTGTAGTTCTCCAGCTTCTCTGTCGTGAAGGACACCCAAGATACCTCATAGGTATCGTGGTTGGGCGCATGGAAGCGATACCGGTAGTGAATGTTGAACGGCGGGTAAGGGTGTCTGGAAATATAGATAGATAGAAAATATCATGTTGCATTCAAAGTTTTAATATTTTTTCATAAACGATTCGCTTATACGATGAATAATTTTGCGTAAGATATAAAACAAGCGAAAAGTTAGTGGCGGTAATCACTTAAAATCGGGCGAACATTTTGCTCGTTTGCCAACTTTTCACGTGACAAAAAAAATGTCAATATAAGACAATATATGACAACATAACGACTGGCAAACGAATGTAGTGACATTTTAAATTGATAGGAGACCTAGAACTTTACTTCTAAAGAAAAAAGGTTCTATTTGATCCGTCACACATCTTCAGGCCATCAAGGCCGTATGATTGGAGAACTAACACTACATTAATAGAACAAGTGTCAGTAAAAAAAGTAAGCCCTTAAGTCTGTTACTTTACGGGGTGGACAGAGATATCATTACCAATCTTCACGGTTCTTTAAGTCTCGTACGTCGGAGGATACGGTAATCTGTTTGTGGTAGGGCCACGTAGCAACTTCTGCTGTTACATGATTACACAATCACTTTTAGAAACGACGCCTTTACAAACCCCAATGTGTTGTAGGTGGCGGTAATTACTTATCATCATGCGAACCGCTTGCTCGGAGCCAATTATTCATATGAAAAAAAAAACAATAAGAAAAAGTAGTGAGGAAAAGCAAGAAGTCTAGAAGTTGCGTCTCATCTGATGAGTTAGGTAACCTGTGCTGAGCTGCGCTTCACCTTCTCATTTAAAAACGGTTAGTCAATTTTTATGCTCACGAGTGCTTAACACATTACTAAATGAAACCCTTTATAAGGATTTATCGCGTTTAACGAAATATTAATATAAACACTTTAGAGGCGAGAGTAGTTCGACAAGTTGCTGGTCACCTGGGCCGGTATCTGGTGACCGTGATCGTGGAACCGACGAGGGTCAGCTTGTGGAAGATCCTGCCGATTGAGAGCAGGTAGCGCTTGGTCGGCGCGTTCGAGGGCTTCCCCGACTGCGGCGCCACTTTGGAGGGGGGCGGCGCCGGAGTGGAGGGGCAGTGCGCCTCGATCACCTCGTTCTCGTTCAGGCCGACGATCAGCTGGAAGCCCTGGGAGCACCATCGACGGGAGACCATTACCATATGCGTTCGCTTCAAATTATCGTGTATGGATATCAATCATCGTCATAATTTCATCTTGTTTGAGTCCGCTGCTGAAAATAGGCCTCCCGACAAACTGCCAAGATGCCCGATCCCGAGCCACCAGCATCAATCGATGCCATGCGCATTTACACAGGTGGATTTCATGCTAAAGATAAATCAGTAAAGGGGTATAAAGCTCCGGAAGAAACTGGTTAGTCACAGGTCCAAACTTACTAAAGACGATTGCACTAGGAACAACATTCTCCAAAAATCTAAATAACAAATATTACCATTACAAATTATTACCTACCTAGTCTTGATTACCATAGTCACTAATCGACAGAACCGCGCTAGCTCAAAGCATAGCTATTTAATCATGGCTTCAAGACACCAAACTTTTCATCAGTTGGCAAGTTGGTTTCAGCAAATGTACAACACCCGACTGACGGGTTGGTGATGCGTTGTTTCTTGTTTTTTAATACTGTACCTCAGATGCATATAATAGTAACTCCACATTTTTCAAAATTATTTTTCTTACACCAATAAAATCGCAAGAACAAATTCTACACTATAATATAAATCATTAAGTCTTGCGACGCCTAATTAATAAAATACCCAATCGTATATGACATCATAATCAATAGGGCATTTAAGGATTCACTCACGCATTTTTGCCTCCCTGTAAAATTTGTGTTTTGTCACATAATGATGTTTACCTCTGAGGATCAGTTTTAGTTTTATCTTGTCTCAGTTTTATCGCGTTAAGCTTACTTGCGCGAGCCTCTGCGAGACCAGTTCTTTGAAGACTTCCATGGTGGTAAGGGGTTTTTTATAGATCGCTCTATTCTGGGCGAAGTCGGCGTTGACGTCGTCTGGCAGCAAATTGTAGTCGGAGACCAGATAGTCATTTTGCAAAGAGCGCTTGTCGGGGAAGTAGTCGGTGGTGATGGGGAGGCACGCCGGGATGGTCAGCGATTTCCAATCCACACCTGGTCGCAAATTAAAGAAAATATCATGAAGGAAAATGCATATTTTCTAAATAATGACAAAAATAAAATCTTTCGGAGAAATGGAAAGTCCACCGATCGGCACTTCACTTCACGTTTATGTATACTATTGAAAATTATTGTAACAAAGAGCTTAAAGTCGTTAGATTATTGAGGGGCTTTCTAGAGGTAAAAAAGACAATAACAAGTCTTGTATTATTTAAAAGTTTTTAATGGAATCTACTACGAGTAAAGGATATTGTGGTGACAATAATTAAAATACTAATCGAAAAAACTAACTACATGAAATAGTGTAAAGCTTGTCGATGTCATAAAATGGATATGCAATAAAAATTAAAAATGTTTAAAAGTAACTACAGAAGCATTAACCTGCAGAAGAAGCATTAAATGTTTGATCTTCGTTCAGTTGTAACCGCGGCGGAGAAGTGAGAACAAAATAAAATTACTTTGTTTTTGATGTAAAAACTACTATGCAAACTACAAAATGCTTATTTTAAATATGGATTCAATTAATAACACGTTTGCTGTGCGCATTCAAATACGATTCATAAAAGTTTATTGTTAGGTACAAGAATTTCAAGCCCAGTACATGATTGGCTTCTTAAATCCTAATAGAACATGTAGATCATGCAGAACGTAAAAATCCTAAAGCGTAATACAGAATACAGTCAGCGTGTATTAAACTATTCAAAGAAATAAAGCATATCCATATTATTTACATCGTCATATATTAGTGCAATTAGTAAAGCTACATACTGGTTATTTTTAACAATAAAGAAAGCACTAAGCGTCTCCAATAGTTCAAGACACGGCCCTGGCACATGTTTATTAAGCGCTTGTGAAATATAATCTTACAATGCGTTGGGTTCGATCCCACGTTACATATATACTGGATTTGCTACTTATAAAGTGATTGTTTGTTATTACTGTACCCCCGCAAAATATATACTTATAATATATATTGAGGGCTTGAAATATTCGCTACATAATGCAAATCCATTCAATTTGATATCAAACCTATTGCCCGGTTCGCTTTACGCCGCAAGCGTCCCACACGGTAATGAAGACATAATGCGGCGAAATCATGAAACATTAGAAATGATATGAGCGGTTATTAACACTGTTGTAACGAAAAAATGAATTCTTACAATGAAAAACTGTTCGAATGAACACCGGTGTCACAGAGTAAACAGTCAGGTTAACAAAATCAAGTATTATTCATTGTTCGAATATAATAAGAGCACTTATTTTTATAAACAGTAATAACTTAAAGTACGTTATAATACTATAGGCATAACAAGATCAAAACAACATATTTTATCTTTCATTAAATCGGAAAGGAAAAAAATGACAGAAAATAAGACGTTCAAAAACAAAAACCAAATATCGCCATCACTTGTTCAAATTCGAATACATTGAACGATATGGTCTTCGTCTTTCTTTCTGCGCGTCGTTGAAATAGTCTCATTTATTAAATGAGTAAATTAAGTAATTGATAATATCACTTAAATGAAACTTTTGACAAACCCTTATTGGGTATCGCTCCACCTGACAAGAGGCAATTATCGAGCATCTAATACAAAACAATTGTACACAACAAACCTGTCGTCAACGCTGGGGTCCACTCCTGCTCGCCGGTGGCGCCCCAAAGCAGCGCCAACGAAGCGTTATTCGTCGTCGAGGGCGTACTCGACGGTGTGCCATTCCGCTCGTGACCGCGCTCAGCCCGCTCGTACCGGTGCCCAGTCCGCTCGAACCGGAGCTCATGCCGCCCGAACCGCTGCCGAGTACGCTCGTTGCGGTCCCCAACAAACCCAGCGCGCTTGAAGCGCTGATCATACGCTTACGACCGCTCATGATATTGCCTTTTAGAGACACGGGAAAAATTAGTTAGCGCTTGAATCGCTCATCGTACGCTTACATCTGCTCATAATATTTCCTTTTAGAGACACGATAAAAATTTGTTCCCCCTTTTAGCGATGATCGTACGCTTATGAACGCTCATAATGTTGCCTTTTAAAGACACTAGAAACATTATTGTTCGCGCTTGAAGCGCTAATCGCTTACGACTGCTCATATTGCTCATTAGAGACACGAGAAAAGTTAGTTGTAAAAATTTCAATCATATTAATATTGTAAATGCTGATGTTTGTACAAACTGTTGGTTATTTTTGCAGCTTATATGTCGTAAATTTATCTTTTTTTCTTATCCGACTGCACAAGGATGGAAACGTTTTTCGTCTGTACGTACGCGCTATAAGGCCTAAATCTTTTGACAGAATTCGCTTCTGTTAAGGAGTGACATAGAATATAATATACGAATTATTTATTACGTTATTATTTTTAATGCAGTCAGGAAATTGTTTCATTTAATACTTTATGCTTTTTAAAAATCCAAACAAAAGGTACAAGCCAGGGTCAATTAGGGCTTAGAACGAAATAAATTATATACTTAGAATATAAATTATAGACTTATTCACCATCCACTTGGTACACAGAGTGGTTGTTGTTCATAACAGAAGAGCCATTTTCCTTCACGGCGCTATTCTCGCGGCGCTCGTCGTTCCTAGAAGTAGGCTCACCGGCCGGCCTGGCTTGATAGTGATGCTGCTGTATTAAAACACCCTTCGGGCCTGAACAAAAACGTTATAGAAATTAACATAATAATTATTAGAAGACGTCAATAACAGAAGGAACATTTAAGAACGGCATTGAATCATCATATAAAAGGAGTGAACTTTCTTAAATAAAACTTTCAAGTTTTATCAAAAAATATATATCGCATATTTGAACGTTATTATACTTACCTTTTGGGAAGATATGCGTCCACCTCCTTCGATTACTCGTTAGTTTCACTTTAACGTGAGACGGATCAAATGGATTGATTAGAGCTCTTCCAGTTCTTATCACAGGCTTGTTGATGGAAATTGAACTTCGTGGTGATAATCTATTGATTGAAATGGGCGAATCAGTTGTATCGCTGTTTGACTCAATACCACCATATTTACCTGAGCACCAAAATTAAATATTTAAATCATATATTGTCACGCACCGTGGATTTAGTTAGAGGACAAACTAAGAACTTCTTTGTTATTTAAATATTAATCATATACTATCAAAACCGTCAAAGTTGACTTTGTCAAGGTGGGAATTATAACACTAAGAAGAATTATTCTTCACTGATGAAATTGCAAGAACATATGTAACTATGCATTTCATATAACAAAGAGTTTTGTAATTCAATTCATGCTTATAGCTTTTCTATAAGCATTTAAAAAAGTAAACTAGTCTATATTAATGGGTCATTAATGATATGAGCAAAAAGCTCCTATGCGTAGAGGGTACTTACTTTACTTACTATATACCCATTGCTGATTTGAAACACAACATATCTTCAAAATATTTTTTTATATCTTAGATATATGGGAAACCCATATGTCTAAGATTTTAAAAAAAATTTTCTCACAATGTTTTTCGTATGTGGCATGCGTATAATATTGTATATTTATTTAAGCCACAACAAACACTATTTAAATATTGAAATAAATATTAAAAGGAACTTACTCCCTCCTGTCAACATGTCACCAAGGCTATGATGAATATCTGGATCGGACATTTTTCTGTGATATAGAGCAGAGGCTGGTGGGCTCTTTCGACTAATGCCTTCTAAGCCAGCAACCGAAGTTTTCTTTGTGCGAGGAACTCTTTGAACACTGAGTAAAAACGAAACAGGAGATGATAACATTTTTTTAAATAAATTAATAAAATATTTAAAACATTTTTTCTATTTACAAGTGTACTACGTTTTTAAGTGTAATGTGTTTTATGGATTTTATATTTTAATTACTTATATCGCATGTTCTAGATGTTTTAAATAGCAGTATTTAATAGCAAAGTGCAGACGTTACATAATCTATGTTGTGATGCTGTTAAGGGCATTATCATCATGTGCTAAATATTTACAAAGTATCAGAACATAAGATGTTTCTTATGTTTATTAATATAATAAATACACAATTTGTTATAATTAACAACTATCAATAAATATTAAAGAGCAATACAATACCACAAATAGGAATTGCCACACTCACCAAGTGCTATGGGCGGGAGGCAATTGAAAAATCTGTGCGTCATAAGCGTCATAATCGAAAATGGAATTGTGCATATATTCATCCTCTTTTAACAGCTTCCCCTTAGTTTCATCCTCATACATTTTTTTCAGAGGCTCCTGACTCTTTCTTGGTGGGAGCTTTATCCGCGGTATGAAATTTGAATATGCAACTTTCTTATTTGTCGAATAAAAAGACAAATTGATCCAATGGGGCATGGAATAATCGTCTATTGAATTGAGATTGCTATCTTTGTTGTGAAATTTCAGTAATGGTACAGCATGCAGAGGTTGTTCTCCCACACACACTAAGTCACTGCCAACTCCGTTATCAATTATTCTCTGCTTTGTAACATTGGTTAGTTCACGATCAACTTCAAAAACTCCAACACCCGGCGTGATGACTACACTTAACTGTCCGGTCCGATCAAAACATCTGTCCAAATAGTGCTTCTCAAAAACTAAACAAGGGCAATAAAAACAAAATTAAAAAAAATTATCCATAATTAGTTATTATTTTATAGATATCATGTTAGAAGAAGTAATAAAATAATCCAATTATTTCCTGCCAAGTTCACCTATTACCATCTAGGATGAGCTATAGAGAGATTATAAGAAAATTAAGATTACCATTTAAACTCATGTTCAATACTTCAAGAAAATTGCCTTGAGCAGCAGTAGAATTGATGGCAGTTGGTATTTCCATGTTTGGCCTCTCATGATACTGTAGAACTATTTTCTGATAGTCTGTAAATAACCTTCTCAATTGCAACAACACATTGGACCAGTCATCATATCTTTCATTTTGAACTGCAACCCTAAAAATATTACAATTCTTAATTTACTTACGTATTTTATCATCATGTTACAAGTCTTTTAATAGCTAACCTGTAAAAGTCCTCATAATATCTACCCCTGTAATCTTTCTGTAAACATTCCTTCATATGCTGTGGAAACTCTTCCAAAGACTTAGCTTTATAAAATGTTCTGGAAAATAGAACTATTGTCACCTCGTGATTGCTGCCATTTTTCTGTAAATATTTTATGATTATTTGTATCAGATATCTAATTATTCATTTACTTAATTCTATAGAAATTACACATATTTACCTTCCACTTTGCAAAAAGTTCTGCAAGGAAACCATTCACAGCCTTTTCAAAGTATAAATCTCCATGAATATCAAAGTCCCACATTTCTGACGACATTTGTATGAATAAGTATACCATGGATGTTGAGGACCGAAATACAATTTTTGTGTCTTCCGTGATAACACCGCAAGCTACTCTGTCGCCTTGTGACCACATTTCATACACCTGACAGCGAATAGCCCCACCACAGTATTCAATTTTTTTATTTAAATATACACAAGTGCTTACCTGGAATAGAATTTTAATTCAGTTTTAACTGACACATTCTTCACTTTCATAAACTGTCTTTGCACAGATGTACAGCGTGTCGTTACAACCACCACAATAAATGAACACACGTCTAACGCTACTTGCCAATAATCATAAAAAAATATAAGTGTTAAAAAAAACCATAATTGAGAAAAAATATTTTTCGAACAAACTAATTAAATAAAAAAGAAACAAAATTTGTAACAGCCTATACAACTATAACTGACTGATTCATACATTCAGAGACTTTTCATTTGTTGCCACAGCATCGCATTACAAATCTCTCCTTCTAACAGTATGTTTTATCTCTTTTTAATTCATTCAACCCATTCATATGCTTTGTGACCTTTACAAATGAACTTCACGTTACAGTTTTATATGTAAGGGTGTTCTAAAATTGTTTGTTATGGAAAATTTTATAACTCTTTAAATATTGATGTTTAATAAATATAAATGTTTAATATAATTTTAAAAAGTTATTCTCTCTATGTGTGTTCATTTGATGTCGCGGTCATAATGACACGCTGTATATTTAAATATTTATGGAATGTACATGAGAAAGCCAAAAAAGAGTTAAAGTTGTGTTTATTTTACTTATCATAGGCCTAAATTATAAATATGTACTAACATTGTTATTAAAAATATATCATCAGATCAGCAAGCAGGCAATTTACACAAATATGTGCTTTAAATGAAAATATTTAGAAATATGGTTTCACATTAAAAACTACCCTGTGACCTTCATTTAATAAATTTAATTTAATTAGTAACTAAATAATAAATCAAGGACAACAGTTTTTATGAAAATCTGAACTTTTCCAATAAAATTTTAATACTATCTGTTATCCCAGTAGTGTGAATACTTAAATGGATTTTATTTGCCTTGAAATTAAGTAAAACCAAAATTATTTAAATAAATTTAGTGTAGGTTAGATGATAACTAGGCTTTAGATATGTGAGTTACCTTTGTAAAATACAAAGAAAACCTGCCACACTTTGGTATTGAAATGCCTCTGATACTTATAAAACTTTGGAACTAAAAACTCATTAACAGCCTGTAGAAGTGAGAGAACTATTTAATATTTTATAAGATATCATTTTGAGTGCTGCTTTGTAACACATTTTTTCATAAATATTTAGTTTTCCTGCACTTGCATGATTTTTTTGTATACAAAGATAGTAGTAAATATAGAAATATATTAAAAGAAATATTTCACTTCTAAATGAAAAATGGTAGTAAGAACATCTTAGGCACACACATTCGCCTAGACACACTCACACTGGTGAATAATACTATTATGATAAATAATGTTTGGTCTCTTGAGACCTCACTAACCCAGATAACCCTTTAGGAAATAAGTAAGGAAAGTTTAAAAATCACTGTCCCTCATTCATTAATGACAATAAAATTGTTTTATGGATTTCCCTATCATAGTTTTTGGTTACAAATTTTGGTACATTTATATTGAATAGTCCCCAATAGGCTTTTCTAAGTGTATCCATTTTTTTAAATTAAATTCTAGACTTAATAATAAATTATAAAAAATGTTAAATATTTAAAATCACTCGTAAGTAATTAATTACATTCATTTGAACTTATCTCAAAAAGTGCGTGATTTATACGCAACTCGTTTATTTTACGCGCGATCATTCATAACTAACACGCACACAAGTGCGTTTCAAAAGTATACGACGCATAAATGTCGACACCTATCTATCTGCATTGTGACAGGCACACAACTAAAGTTTGTTACTACACGTGTATCATAGCACAAGTTTATGGTTCCAATTTTCCTTCATACTTAGAATGGGCTTAGAACCGCCATAGTACTAAAATACTACTTTATTATTTTAAAATCACAAACTATTGTTCATACTTATTATGGCATATTTAAAAAGTGGAATCAACTATTTAACACTTACCTGTTCATTTAATCACAAAAAACACTCACTGATATTTTAACAATTGTTCAAAATGGACTCCCATTTCTCTCAATAAAAAGCTGAGCATGCTTTCTCAACAATTTTATAACATTACTTGTCTAAGCATTATATACGCCGGTGTAGTAAATTGTCCAAAATGTCATAATAATTGGTGGGCTGCCAAAATCGTCCTTCGATTAGGTACATTACCTGTCTTTTTAAAAGCGGTAAAGAATCACTTTCATAAAGTCTTTGCGCACCACAAAATTTTCACCACATATAATGTAGCACTGGACCATCTCGTAATACTCGCGGTTCTAATAACTGCGTTGTTGTTTCGACATCGTTAGAGATAAGCAAATCTAAAAATAGAATGAGCGACCTTAATTAGGTCACGGGCAAATTGAAACTAACAAAGGGCAGCGGCTACATAGAGCGATCACCGCGGGCGTGTGGAGGGGAAGAGAGAACGATGTTTTATAACGCAACGCTTTGAACTGCCGGCATGGCGGCGGCGTTCAAAGCTCAAGGCTCAAGCTTAGTTTTGTTTGTGTGTGTGCACAGTAAAATTTAGGTATTTATGAATGACTACCGCATTGTCAAGAAGTTCTGTTTTTTAGGGAATAGTATGGCAAATTTAAAAAAAAAAAAAGCTTGTTTTTATTTCAATAAACGATTATACTACAGAATCTGAACTTTCTGTGTAAATTTGGGCACTTCTTGTAAATTCTCCCTGTATAAAACTATAAGATCACACTCACCAAATGATTTTTCAATCTCCACATTTCAGATCTTCCTAAATACTGATCTTTAAAAGTCAGTTCAACTGAATCCAATGCAACATCTGCTACATTGACAATATTCACATATACATAAGCAAATGTTCTTAACTGAAATGTAGTTGCTATGCTTTGTTCCACACTTATAGTATCTAAAATGGTTTTAATTAGATATTTAAAGGGGGAAATTTTAAATTGTTAATATACTGGTCAACTTTGTTCTTAATATTATAACAACTCAATATTACAAGTTATTCTACAAAATGCATTTTATTTACTTCTATTGTTATCTAGTGTCTAAAACATATATCGTCAAAATTTTACCCTTAGCCGCTCGACCTGTTGGTTCTACTTTATTCACTTGCAGGAGTAATCTGGGATAATCATTTTCGGGGTGATAGATTTCTACAATATCTTTTTCTTTTAGCCCAGGATAGTCTTTCAAGTTTATGATTAAATCAACAACTGAAAATAAAAATATAATATTTATTCAGTGTTTATTTATTAATTGACCATTTTTCACTTTAATTACTTACGGCTAAAGCTACTTTGATGAACAATAAGTTTAAAAGATTTCATGATTGTATCTTTTTGCGCATTTGGTACAACTATTACAAAATAATGATTTAGTTAAAACGCAGTAACATTATATCAATGCTCTAACTTTAAATATTTTAGGATAAGAAGTTTCTGCCTTCTGTCATCGTATTGTGTTGTTATTAGGCATGGGCAAAAAATATCGATAGATAAAATATCGATATTTATCCAAATAAATATCGCTATATAATATCGTCGATATTTTTATTCCCAATATTTATTTTCGACTATCGAATACGTGTCAATTTCGATATATTTATTTACGAAACTCTGGTTTTGTATTTAGTATTATTTAAAAACTCTAAGTACTCCAAGTAAGGAAGTTTTATATATTTTCTTTTATAATTTATCGTTGGAAAAAGTTTCTAATATTATTAGACGTCGGCTAACTTCAGTATCATGAGAAGTTGATCAACTATTTAAATTCTTCAACTATTTAGCGTGATACTTATATCAGTTTGCATGATTTTATTTAAAGCTGCTATGATCAATGAGTCCAAATCATCTGACTAATTAATATTTTACAATTACAAATTAAAAAAAATTATAAAAAAACACCTTAAATGAAGTGAAATTGAAACCTAAAAAAATATATCGATATATCGATTTATCGATACATTACACTCGATATTTATGAATAGTTTTTAAAATGTTGATACGATAAAAATCGATATGTTTTTTATTGAATATTTAATGATCTACTAAGAATGCTGTGTTGTATTTTTAGTATAACACTTTCATTTAATGTTTTAGTACAATACGGTATTTATACAACAATTTCATGCTTCGTATTTTATAATATCCATATCTAAGGAACAACATGTTATAGAGGTGTTACAAATCATTAATATTGAACTACATGCTAAGCATGCAAAATATTAATGGCATCAACTAAAGTTACTTTAAGTTAATATGAAAATAAAGTGAACTAAATTTAATTATAATAAAATTCTCAATAATTAAATATCATATTATGATATAATATATAATAATTTTTTTTAAAATTGCATGTTTAGCATTTTCGTGTCAATCAAACAACTATTACTAATTCTGCTGATCTAGGCCTGTCTTTTAAGACAATCTCTGCGGGTTTCTTTTTGACCCACTATTAAGTTCGTTTTAAACAATTCTTTAAGTTTTTATTACAAAGTTACGTTAAAGTCAGGGCTAAAGAAACAGATTTATCTTACTAAATAAGCTGTTTGTTTTTTCCTATGAAGGTATTGATCAATAATATACCTAAAAAATTAGATTAATAAAAGAAGTTTGATTAAAATTAATAAATAATTAATGTTTTATTAAAATTTTTCATTCATTAATATAATGTGAATTTGGTATAAAAACTGCTATAACTTGTTGTTGAATTAGACTGAACTAAACACATTATATATTTTTAAAACGAAAATTTGTCGGATATATCGATATGTTTTTTCGATTTATTGAGGCCAATATTGATATTTTTAAAAATACCAATATATCGATATTTTTCTTGACTTTCGGCATACCTATGATCTAATTACATTACATAATACATGTATGTATACATGTACTATGTTGATTTGATTGTTGATGATGAATCATGAACCTGTGAACCAGTGAACAAGAATGACATTTGTAGCGTTGCCAGCTTAGGGGTTTTTCCCCCATATTTAGGGGGTGAGCAAACGTGTTGAGATGTTTTACGTTTTATTTAATATCTTTTTCTCTATTTTATGTTATTTTTTATTAAGAAATATAAAGGGCCTGGAATAACTCAATATACGCAATCATGTTTTTCATTACTACATTAAATCAAATTAATGTAAAAATCTTTGCGCTGTTTATTATTTATAATTTTTTTTATAATATTATTTTATGTAGAGAGGTTTTAGGGGTTAAGCTTTAAGGACAAATATTTAGTGAGTAACACTGGACAAATGATATTTCACATTAAACATTTGTGATTTGATTGATACTTTGACAAGAGGCACGTTACGGGCGTCGGGTTATACCTACAGGTTACGGACATTCACTAAACATCGATTTTATTTTTATTTTGTGGAAAACCAATAGCTAATATAATATAAATAAGAATAACAAGCCAACCAATTACAGGTTTTTACTAATTGAAACTAAATGAACTGAGGTTTGATATCGATGTCAATACATTGAATCTATTCAAAATTTACCATACGATACTACTGATTGATTCGTTGTTTTAACTAAATTTTTCTATCCGATGCGCGTTTTTTTAAATAAAAATGAAAAAGACTAAAAAATAACACCGGCTAATATTGACATTCATCAAATCATCACCCATTATACAAGTAAGGATGGGATTGCGAGTATGGGATTGGCTTTTAAACAATTTAAAGGTTTCAGTTATGATATTCTGGTTATGTGGGCTTGGCAAATGGGAAGTAACGCAAAATACCAATTAGGGTGAGCTTATTGATCCCAAAGTTACCGCCAACGCCATCTGGTCCTGCAAATTTTCAAACTTTTCCTACCGAAGCTTACTGCTGACACCACCGCGTGCGGATGCTAAAGGTACATTTGAATCATTTTGAATACAGTTGTTATTTAACTGTTTGAATTTGTTTGTGAAAAATTATTAAAACACTTTATCTTTTATTCCCGTTCTACTATATTCAGATGGAAAGACCAAAAACTATGCAAGCAAGAGATATGAAAATGGATCAATCAAACGGTAATAAACAAATTTCAAAATTTTATTATAAACTAGCATTAGAATTTATTAGATAATATATATGTAATTTTAGATTAATTGAATATTGTAAATATTGGAAGAATTCAGAAGAAAAGAATTCTAGCATTTTTTTAATTTCACTTGTTTTGCGGAATCTAGTGAATTTCTTAAGGTAATGTAGCATACAACACCCGATTAGCTCTATTAAAAATTACTGTATACGTTCAATTGTTCTCTGGTTGAACACAAAAAGATTGTTTCGAGCGACTTATCGATGGACAACTCCCACCGACTCCGAAGCGACGCAATGAAATTGGTTGTTTTGCAACAGTGTTACCATGCCCATAAACAACTTTTTGACATTAATAATTCCAAGTTATAACCGTTATCAATTGCATTTAATGGCTTTTTCACAAAAAAAGAGCACAGGGGAAACCATTTTTAGTCACATTTCTTTTTTTACACTTAAAAGGTTTAACTTCTTACGTGCGTACATAAGTACTCATCATACTCTCCCACAACTTCTTTTTTGCGAAAGAGGTCCACGGGAATACGAGCTGCGAACTCACGAGAGCAATGTGGCTGGTGCACAACGTCGAAATGATGTTGCCATCCACTCCATTGCAGCTGTTTAGACTAACGGGGGTAAAGGCGTCACTCGACACAATTCCAGAGCCCTTCAGTTGGAGGTTAAGGCCACAGCCGTCGAAACTGCGATTTAATCACGTGAGTCTTAAACATTGCTCTGCAAAAATTAATTTGCTTCGAACTCGTTATTATTTTACAATAGGACCACGATGTTAGTAATTTTTAAACTGTACGTTACTGCTCTAATGTTAAGATTTTTAGAAATGAAAAAGCTTTTACTGTGGTAAATTGTAAGTTAATTGACAAACAGCTTTTTTTTAAAATCAATTTTATTTTTAGTTCGTCTCTGCACTTATGATAAAACCTTTGAAAGGTTGGTTAAAACTGGTGGATAAAACTTATGATTTTGTTGAAAAATTAGAAAGGATTTTTCATTATTGTATTAACAGAAGACTATTTAGAGGTTCTCAATTCAATTGTATGATTATTTATTTATGGTTTAAAGGTATTCTTACCAGGCCTTAAAACCTGAAATTTAAAAGAAAAAGAAAGCAATGATCTGGAATCGAAAAAAAAGTAAAAAAATAAATGTGTAAATGATCGTGACGCGATCCACGGCCGTCTGTTTTGGGGCCGCCCGATTACCGACGGAGCTATTATGACATTTTCTCTTGCGTTGAAATTTACCGATATATTCGAATTATATTTTTCATTCCCTGAAAACAGAGATAAAAGGACATTTTCTAAAAATGAAACCTAGCTAGATCGATTTTTCGCCCCCGAATCTATGCGCATACTAAATTTCATGAAAATCGCTGGAGCCGTTTCCGAGACTCCGATTATATATATATACAAGAATTGCTCGTTTAAAGGATAAGATTTTCTTCTTTAACTTGAGTAAAACCTACTTTTAATTCCTAACACGTATCCAAATTAAAAAAAATAAACATCAAACACAGACCGAACACCAACGGATAACGATTAACGTCATCTCAACTGACGTACGTCATTTGTCAGTGCTTTGCATGCGTTGGTAATGTTTATTATTAATATTTTCGATATTGCCTGAATAATAATCTTATGTGGACGACAATATATTATTAATTATAGTAAAATGCACTTATTTGAATTAAAAGAACATATAGCGAATTTAGCCGTTATCACTACTATTTTACAATTTTTTTCTGGAATGTGTGTAGAATTTATTATTATGAATTCATAACATTCTCATATTTTATTTTGAAGTTCATCAATGAAATTGAAACATTTTTAGCCTTGTCTGCAAGCAATATGTAGTTAATCGAACGACCGCAGAGGCTTCATCTTTCCCGTTCATTGCCGGCATTTTATCGTAAGTTATTTACAGCATTAAAATTTTAATGAAAATACAATCCTTAACTAATGTTTTAATTACAGTGCTGGTATTTGGCTTTTATATGGACTGGCAAAACACAACGATAAAATAGTTATGGTTAACACTGTTGGTGTTACATTAATGATCTCATACACAGTTGTGTTTTATATCTACACATTTAAAAAGTCTACAGTTTTAAAACAGATAACATTTACTGTTGCACTTCTTCTTTTTATGATTTGTTATATTTCTATAGAAGAAGATAATGAGATTCTTTTGACAAGATTAGGTGAGTTTGGTGTATTAATATATAAACACTAGTTTAAACACTTCCAAATGTAAGTACATTATATATTGTTTTATTTTATTTACAATTGCAGGGCTTCTAGCCTGTTCTCTTACCCTCATAACTGTGGCTGCACCAATGAGTAAACTGCTGTATGTCATTAAAGTCAAATGTACAGATTGTTTGCCGTTTCCAATGATACTCATGTCATTTTTTGTATCCGCTTTTTGGTCATTATATGGATATATTGATGAGGATATTTATATTTTGGTAATATAGATGTTTCTTATTTAATTTCAATAGTCTAGTTTCTTAAATTATAAGTGTCACTTAAAGGAATAACATAATTACAATTATACATTGTATTTAAAATGATGTGATTATTTTTTTCTTTAATGAACTAATAGATAATTATTAATGACTAATAATATTTTGCTGGTGCACAAATGCCTATACTAAAATTAATTTGGTTTATTGCAGATTCCAAATTCAATTGGAGGAGTATTAGCAATGGCTCAGCTATCCTTATTTGCAATTTATCCCAGTTTACCTCATTCATCTGTACCTTATAAAAGTATGGTAGCTTGAATTATTTATAATACTCTGTTTAAATTTTCTTTACTTTATACTGAAACAAATATGATGCTCTTAATGAGATTTATTAAACAATTTTTTTGCCTACATGTACTAAATGAGTTTAATATAAATATGTTTCAAGTTTGTAAATTAATAGAATGTTCTGGCTTAATGAAAATACTCTAAGATAAAGATCAGAATGTATTTGAAGTATTAAATTTGTAATGAATAAACAATATAAGTATCCACCTATAAAGACTGAACATTGCTGTCTTGGTATAATTTACTACAAAACAAATTTAAAATGATTTTGTGCCAATATTTTAGATACTTGAATTCTCTCTCAATCTCTGATGATTTTAATTTATACTAAAAATGTAATATTTATTAGTATTAAATTAATATAACATTACAATATTATAAGCACAAAATGCCATGAAATTACTTCTTTTGTTAGTTAAACATGAAATCTCATAATAAAATATTTTTATTAACCTGTTTGTGAATTTAAAGAGTAAGTAATTTTGAGTGATATTTAGTACATAAGTGAATAAATTATTTAAGTATTAGCCGTTTAACAATAAATTTATGAGACAATAAAAAAGTCCAATGTATCTCTTTAGTTTTTATTACAATTTTTTACTTTTTTACATACGCAATATGACCTATCATTTGGATTATGGACACAGTTTCCTCTTGTGTTATATGCTGATATTGTTTCGGTCGGCTCCAAAATTTTAATTTCTTTATCACTTACTACAACATTTGCTTCGAAGGAAACATTACCTGGAGTCATCATAAACGCTACAACATAATACTTTTTTTCACCGTCTACATAGTAGTGATGTCTTAAAACTGATTTCAATGACAACTTTTCACATTCCGTACATTGCGTCGTCTCAATATCGTTTGTTCTGTTTTGTATGTACGACACTGCTAGTTGTATACTCTGTTGAGCTTGTGGGTCATTTCCTCTCACTTTTACCATTTCGTGGCAACCACACCATTTTTCGTTCACTCCAGCGTCTGTACACGTCCTGTTCGATGTATTTTCGTAAAATAAACTGTCGCATTGTGGACACGCCTCCGAGGGCTCGACTTCGATTGAATCATTTGACATTTTCAGTATATTCCACATCGTCAAGTGAAGATCATAGGGCGTGCTTAACCGAAATTCGTTAATCCTTAAACTGTTGTATTCTTCAACATACATCTTTTGGAATGTATATGGCACCCACATGAAAAACATTGGCAAACGTTCTTCGTAATAAGACTCTATGGGTAATCTCATTTCACCATATCGTATACCGTGATCGCTCAAGAAAACAATGAACGTGTCGTTTAAAGTTTTGGTCCCCTCTAGTTTTTCGAAGAACCGAACAATGTCATCGTCAAGTAGCGCTGGCATATTGTTCATGTTATGGCTGAAAGAGTTAATCCAAAACATACCGAAGAAGGGATTATTTGAATACGTTTCAGCGAAATCTAATGCATACTCAAGTAAATGCACTCCCGAAGGTTTCTTCTCAGTACAAATATAGTTTCCAGTTTTTTCCTCGCCAGTTAGAAAAAATGGTCGTGCGTAATGGTTTGTGGGGGGTTGCTTAAAACCTTTATAACGTGAAAATGTATCCGGTAGATTAAGATAATCTTCACCGTAAGCAGTGACGTAACCCGCATCTTTGAATTTTTTCCATATTAATAGGTCGTTACATTCGCCCATTCCCTTAGCGCAAGCTTTGTAAACTGTAGACATTTTCTTTCCAGTAAGAAAAGCCATTAGGTTTGGGAATGTGTTAAAACCTACCTGAAACGATTTTATAATCAAAATAAAAAATATAATAACATACCCATTTATGTTGTCAAAAATATAAAATATTCTTTCGGATTAGGGAAACTAGTAACCGAAAAAGCGTCCTGGTCAAACTGTACATATTATTAAACGGTTTTGTTATTTGAAATGTACTTATTCGGTTATGCTTACTTTTTGATATCCTCTAAAATCCAGCCATTTATGATTTTGTAAATATTTGACGGTGTGTGGCATAGTGTCATACACCCTTGCGCGCGACATTGTGTCCATTCCAACCACCATCACATTCCAAAAGTTCTTACTATTTACGTTTTCGTTTCCTAATATATATATATTTTTAATAACAATGTAAGCATCTTCGTAAATAACGTGCCAAGTTTTAGCGGAATTGATGCTACATGAGACTTTAATAACTTCTTGTTCCAATTCGACGATGGTACCATTTTTGAATGGTTTGCAAGATGAAAATCTGTAATTTAAAATGAGTGATGGTAGTTATAACCATGTAGGAAATATCCCCGCAAACATCATAACCACGTTCACATAACCACGTATTTTCCTGTTGTTCTCCAAATCAAATATTTGGAGAAGATCAAAAGAGAGAACATATTATCTTAATAATAATATTAAAAAGTGAGTTTTACTTAAAAGTTCTCTTTGTGGCTAAATGGCTTTAGTCCTCCGAGTAATGACAGGAAGGGTGTGGCAAAAATCTCCAGAGGAAACGTACGTGACGTTCCCCATTGGCCTGTCATCTTGGTGTATGTACTATAGTGTTCTGTCAACGGCTTCTACGGGCGCTTACTCGAAATTAAGTCCCAGTTATGTCTATGACTAACTCCAATGTGCGAGTTATGTGTTGTTCCCTATCAGCGTCGTACAAGTCGTGCTTGTATTGCTTCAAAGATCCCAATCGTTCTCATTCTTTTTGCTGCTCTAGATTACTGAAACTAATTCTTTCTCAAGGCATTTTTATAATAAATGCCAAAAGTTAGATACCTAATTTAATATTTTTTTACTAACCATGAAAATTTAATGGTTAGAAAATACTAAAAAAGCAGTGACTTCTTTTGTGTGAGAAGAAGGCAAGCGTTGGTCGATCCACCTGATGTTAATGGACATTTGCAACACCCGTTGGGTTCCAGATGCGTTGCAATCTTGTAATAAATTGGGCCCCGGCTACCTCACTCAGCAAACGAAAGACAGAAGTGTAACACTTCCACTTCACGCCGGTCTTCTGTAAGGTCGGGGTACTTCCCCTGGACCTGCAGATCCATGCAACAGCGAACTGTTGCGTTGCACTGCCACAGTTACGTAGTATCTTAATTAAAAAAAATATCAGATACAATTTGTGAGTCAATGACAAATGACCAACACAATTTCCGAACCACAAAGCACAATCAGTATATCCGAATGTACTAGCTTTCTCAAATATTTTTTTGTTTATCTTTATTCCTAACCTGTGGCAGATTTGATCCGTTGGTCGTCCTACTCTCACACACATTAAAGCTTGCCGCCCCCATATTCGCTGTAAAGCACAAAAAATTAAACGAAGTAAATTGAAGTTAAAATAAAAAGAAACAAAGAAAGTACATGGTATCTGATCATGAAGTCGACGAATGGTCGACGACGACGAATCTACACATCGGGCCAGCTAGATTTATTATAATTTTTTTGAAATATCGCTTACGCGATGAAGCGAGAGGCAAAAGGCGAGACTACAAAAAAAATCCCACTAATTTGTCGTCCTAGACCCGGGCCTACTCGGCGCCTATAGGGAAATCCACCTCTGTCTCTAACAAGAACAATCAAGAACATCTATATACCGATCAAAATTAAAATCATATCTATCGTAAATGTCAATCGAAGAAATTCACAATATTATTACTATTAACGCAAATTTTCAGCGCTTATCCCTAACGTAAACTTTTGAAAACATAGCTATAGCGCATTTTAGTAGTTTAGCAACGTTATCTAGTTTGTGTTTGTGTGCCGCAGGAACTAATTAATTTAGTGCTCGAATACACCATCCGCTAAGCATTGGAGTACGATGGGGGAGTTGAATTATATGGCAAACATAAGGTACTGATGACCTGGCACCACTAGAAATGTTTAAACAATACCTTGTAAGCATGGCGGACATCATTAAGTCATCCTTAAGTTGGAGGGAGAAAAGAATAGCGTTAATTACCTGTTCCATCGGCAGGAAATGCAAGATTACTGTAGTAGGGCCACGCAACAGCTTCTGCTGTTGCAAGACAGGGTAGGCTCGTCCGGGGATGTACAATACGGCCTCACAGAAGAGCGGCGTGAAGTGGGAGTATTAACCTTTCGCATTTCGTCTGATGAGTGTGGTGACCGGGGCCTACTTTTTAAAGGTTGTCAACGCATCAGCAAGCCATCGGGTGTTGTAGATGTTCGTGGGCGACGGTATTCATATAAAAACAGGCGAGCCCCCTGCTCGCTTGTCGCATAAAAAAGCATATCACTGGATCGCAGATCCAACATCTCGGCCACTAGGGTAGTAAGTATTCTTTTCCTATACAACCGCAGAAATACAACGAGCAAAATTTAAAATTAACATGACTTACGTTATTGCAGTATCCTCGTTCCCGGATTCGGTAGATCGGGAAGCGAATTTGTAACAGCAAGTAAAATGTTTGCTCTTGCTGTATTCTTTCATAGTCTGATTGTGAATCGTAAATTGTATTTTATCTTGTTCAATTTTATCAACGAATATAGCGCGATGACCACATGTTTTCTTTTCATATTTCGCTTCTATAAATTTGAGCGTTTTAGAAAAGTTTGGTATGTTACATCCTGCTGTCTCGAGAATGAAATCAGTTTCTGAAAATTTTTATTTTCTTAATAATTTCTTCAAATCTATATATATATATATATATATATATATATATATATATATATATATATATATATATATATATATATATATAAATATATATATAAGAGATTTCCACGGATCATTGACTCATCACGATATCTCTGGAACCATAAGGCGTAGAGACTTGAAATTTGGTAGGATAATATAAAACGAAATACCACATAACATTTGCCGGATCAGCTATTATTTACATAGAGATATATTTGTACTAATAACTACACACAAATATTTGACATTGATTTTAGAGAAGTAAATGGATCTTTCTAATGACAATATTATATCTTATAAATTCGCAACTTCGAAACCTAAGAACTACCTAAAATAAATCAAAATTAACTGAACAGTATTAAATATATCAAAAACAAAAACTTACCACTGTTGGAAATAACTGTTGTGCTCATTTCATTCAAAGGTTTTGCCATTGAGTAAAAGTTTACTAAATTGAACATGTTGTAATAAAACACAAAGACAACAAAACCCATGATTACAGCAGTAGTTGTTACAGCTTTTGATAGATGCATAATATACTTTTTCATCCGTTGAGGAACTGGAATCAAAACATTGTATTATTTTCAATACAAGAATAAAAAACATTACAGTGAAGTATATAAATTAAGAATAGGACCATATTACACACAGGGAGAAGTTGCAAAATGACTATAAAACAAAACTGCAATCGAAGTACCTACAAAACAACCAAAGATTTTAATCGATCTTCATTCAAATCTTACCATACTTCCGAAAATAGTTAAAAGCCCTATGAAATAAATAAAGAAAGAATATGAGGTTAAGCTTAAATGACTATAGTGTGTTCCCATTTTCTCTAGTAAGCTGTTTATTATATCTTTGAACAGGGTCATTATTATTATTAGTGCGACGTACTGTACAGGACTCATTGTTATGAAATAGACACAGAACTAGGTGGTTTTGGATTTCAACGTTGACATTGGTGATTGTGAACATTGCTCATGCATGGAGGCAGGAGGATAATAGAGTCCATATAAATCGAGCTCTTACAATCATACGTCTAGTATTTGAGCTGGCCTTGGTCATAAACTGTCAGCGGGTACTTCATAATTTAGAACGATTGCTCGCTACTAAATGTTTCTTCTATTGATGTTAATATAATTTCAACGATATAACATTCATGCACTTGAATGGAATACTGCCGAAGTTGCGATGAGAATGCGAGTTTTATATATAAGCTTTTATATACTTATCTCTGTTATCATTAAGATAGGTCTGCGCTAATTATATTAATGTGTTTAACATGTTTGTAACCGCTTATTTGACTTGTGCTAGCATTTGTTTATTTGCATCTTCATTAAAAATCTTTTTGAATAGTTTTTATTTATAAAAAAAAAAATATAAATCCCCAATGAATTATGCGTTATGATAATCGTTTTTTCCTGATTTTTAAGAATGACATACAATACGATTGATGACTCCGTGGCGCAATTTAGAGGTAGTAAATATTTAGAGGTCTGGAGGCCTCGGAACAACAAAGGAGCCCCCTGGCCCCAAATTATTTTCCAAATAAAATGAACAATTTTTTTCGGTCGGATTTTCCAATAAATAATTTATTGTGAAACCAAGTATAAATTCTTTTATTATACGAACAAATAAATATAATAGGAAACAAGATTTATCTAAAATTAAGTTTTAGCGTTAACGAACGGAACTTTCCGAGCTTTATTTGCCGAAAAATCGTTTGATTTCGCTTAAATCCAGTTCCCGAAATGAAGCAAATCTTTAGAGGAGGCCCCGGGGCTGTAGCCCCAGTTGACCTCTCCTAAATCCGGCACTGGTCATGGTATTGGCTTCGTTTCCGGTAATTTTAATTTTCATAGCTTGGACAGAAGTACTACGTGAACAATATTTTTTTTTATAGAACATAAGAAAATATATAACTATTTCTAAGGGAATAGGGATACTGACTTCAAAAGGGACATCAAATATTTAGAATTTAGAAATAAATAATACTCAATTTAGAAATAAATTCGTCTTTTTTAGTTTTCGAAACTTTTGCACAAGTTTTCACAAGACGCCCTTGTTTTACTTTACGCTTTTAAGTTTAGATTATAAAGTAAAATATGACATTTACAAAAAGCTTGTGATTTAATATACAAAAATTAGATTTCGTTTGTCAAAACCATATTTCTAATTAAAACTGTGCTTATTGATATTTATGGTACCCATCATATTCATTAACTTCATGGTTGGTCGAAACGCGATTCTAATGATTTTCCTTTATAATTTTTAAAATAAAGTGCTAGAGCCTGGTGTTTAACATTTGTTTTGAGGATGGTAAGAAGTGTGCACTAATCTAGAAAAGCCTAAATAAGTTTTATTGCGCGGTGATTAAGTTATTTTATTTCCGAAATGGCAGACTTCCTTCTGCTACCAGTTATAACCATAATAATACTTTCGCTAATTAGATTGATACAGGAATCTGCGCTTGACTTTGTATCTGTTATTCCGTTGGATGCTTAAATGGTAGGCAAAAATATCTTGACATAACTTATGCTCTACATATAAAAGTTCTAATTTAATGCAGATTTTTCTGTTATTAATTAATAAATAATTTAATTTAAAGGTAGGATACAGTAAACAGTAAAAAATATTTATATTCTTTTTATTTTTCAAATAAAATAAAAAACAATAAATATTTGTCCGCAGAATTTCATGGTAATTCTTCTTTTCCATCTTGTATCTTGTTAAACTGATGTTTTTGCTTTCAGTCCCGAGACTATTAAAGCTTCATCTGAGGCAGAACCGATGGGCTAGCCAGAAGCCACGGGTTTGACCGCATGTGATTTTTAACTATGGTATGTCATCTAAGGGTTGACGTCGAAGTCGATGGCCGTCGACTGTGTTTTTAGCTAATCGGTGGCTGGGGGCGGTGAGAACCGCCCTGGAACGCGGGTGTACCTTATGTACGCGTTGTGTTAGTCTCACCGTGCTCGGAGGCGAGGGCGAACTATTGTGTTTGTTTTTACACTAGCTGTGGGTGTAGTGTTATCCGGGATCTTTTTCTACAGGGTTAGAACCAGCTTAAACTAATTCTTTCTTTTGTGCACAAGCGCGCTCCCTTCCTATCATTTTACAATACAACCACGATAGACAAACCTTGTTTATCTTGAACAGACGTCAAATGCATCCGCTTCAGATACTGGTTAATGTATTTTAACTATTTCCTAATATTGTGTATAATGTCGACAAGGACTACTATTTGTGTTTTGCAATATTTAATTTAATAAAGTTTAATATCGGATCATTTAACGCAGTAAGTGTAACCCACAGATAATTCCTTATATGATAGTTTTTCTATGTAAACATAACGGATTTAACAGATCCAAAACACAGGAGAATATTATTCTTCAGTAAATAAAATGCTTTTGAAAAAAATTTTACTTCTTATTAATACTAAAGCAATGGATAGTTGACTAATAAATGCACATTCGGCGTAGGGTTAAACCAGTTTTTCAAAAATCGCGGCTCTATTAATAATAATATAAATAGGTAAAATTATAATTAGGTCTTCTCTCAATGAAATGTTAAAAAATGCGATTTCAAAATTTTTTCGTCATTAAATGTAATAAAAAGGGTATTTCCTGTACCCAAAAAAGTTCTAAGTTAGACATCTCAATACTCTTAATAGTACATCAAGACGAAAGACAACCTATTTATTCTACAGATTTGTAGTTGACGGACATTACATTATAAAATATAATAAAGGTTAAATGTGCAATGTTCAGGTCTCGTGAAGTTTAAAGTAACTTTCGGCCGCTTTTAGTGGCGTCAATAAACCAAGTATATATTTGCGAAGTTAAATCTAACAGACTTATAAAACTCCACTGGACAGTAAGATTAATTTAATGCTAGAACATCTCTGAGTGCGGTCGTTAGATAGACTACTTAATACTACACTGTCAATTCGGGACTTGAGGGCAAGCCAGTTGCAACTAGAGTCGTTCATGTTCAAACCCGGCCCACAACGAGGCGTCTACGCAATTTTATTATTGTTGTTACTGATATCATCGGTCATTGCAACGATATCGAATATCCTAGTGATGAAAAATCAATGGTCGATAAAGATATTGTACATAAATATGCCGTGTCAAAATAAGGCGTGTCATACGCGTTATTAATACACAATCTCTTAAATTGTAATATTCAACTATGTTGCAAATTACAATTGAATTATAATGTAAGGACAACTAACGGAAATGCCATTTTTTTGTTTCCTATAATGTTATATTGTTTGCTGAAATGGTTTATTTCATTATCTTTGCTTATACAATATTACCTAACCTGATAGAATTTTTTTTTGAAAATATATAGCTGTAATTCAAGGGCAATACAACAGCTGCATTTATATTTGCAGTGTTTGTATATTTTGTATTATAGCAATTTCATTTAAAGATTTTTTTTTACTAGATTTAATCGTGTTGTAATTGTAATAAAATATTGCAAGAGATTAAATTTAATCAAATTCAAGATTTAAATTAGGGAATAGAAATTCTGAAATAAAGAGAAATTAAGTTCTTCATACAAATAAAATAGAATAGAATATACTTTACTGTACACAAGGAAATATATTGAAGGGATGGCGGCCTTATTGCTACGGTAGCAATTTCTTTAAGCCAACCTTATACATATAAAATGTCAAATCCATATCAAATCAGTTTAAAACAACCGGACGCTTCAGTATGTAAGAGCAAAATTTATGTAATATTACAAAAAAAAATTCTTCAACTTCTAATGCTTTGGAATTTAGTGAGATAATTATTGAACTTACCAAGTTTAACTTTTTGGTGGCTTATTGTAGAGGATATGGAGCTAAAAATGTGATAGTACGTCATTGGCCATTATTTTCTCTCAGTTTGTTTACTAACAAGCCGACCGTGAAATGTACACTAAAACCACCACTGAATATCTGAGTAAAACATGAACGTCCGTCATTCTTTGCCCGTGTCAGTTCACTGCATTCGGTACGAGATTTTTGCGTGGCAGACGACCACTAAATTTGTAGCGTAAACCTTGGACCACCCAATAAATGTATAACGTAAACTCTGCAATTTTTAAAACTTTAAGGAAGTTAATGACAATAACATCAAACTAACCATTAAAGTTTAGTAATTCAAAACGATTGTCTTTAGAAACCTGAACCTCTTCAAAATTGATTCTTGAACACCTAGTAAACGTATCAAGATACAAAAAAGAAACTTTTTATTTTCAATGTAACATTGTAAAATAAAAAAAGACGACCTAATTTTCGTAGCCTCTTTGTTATCCATTATAGTTCTATACATTTTTATAGTTTTGTTATGGTTTGTAAATAACATGGCCTTTGTACTAGATTGTTAGAGCTTCAATATATCAAACAAACAGTATAATATATTAACACTGCATGCGTAACATGTCTGCTCTGCAACTGGAAAATTTCACTATTGCCAGTTCAAAGCATAATCGATATATAAACAGGTAATCTCTGTTTATGTAGATAATATAAGATCGATTATTTTTATTATCTCAATTTAGATCTTATGTTTTGATAATGCATACGTTGCTACTGTCGAAATGATTCGCGCTTGAATTTTAGTATTTTCTATTCAAACGCAAGTTATCAGGTCAGATTTAATTCTTTCCTTTATACGATTCGCACATTGTTTATCACAAAGGATATAGCAATTTGTGTGATCCACAATCATTTTTGCTGAGTCTGGCTTACTTTTTGCCCGCAAGAAGGAATTTTTAAACCTTAACATAAAAATGAATTATACCTTAATTTTTTGATGGCACCTTAATTTTTTGTGTCAATGCGATTAATGATGGGGTAGCCATCATTTTTCGTTTCAATTGCAGTGAGCAAAAAAAAAAACATACATTTAAACATTTAAAGAACTGAGTGATCTAGGTTTCTACCCTGCTCAAGCAATACAGACTACTTTTTTTTCTAAAGTTTCAAATCACTTTTAGACATTAAAATTACGACATTATTAATGGTTCCCAACGTCTAGCTTCATCGACCCGATTGGAGGAAAGATATCACAGAGCATATCCGCTTGAAAATACTACACACCCACCAATTACATAAAATACTACCACCTAAGAGCATGGCGTAATCAGTACACCGTGTACACGCGGTTCCGGGAGTCCCCCATTGCAGTGTGGTTCGCGCCATGGTCCTCATAGGCGGATTTTATGGACCTTAGTCTCTCGCGGGTCTTAACAAAGGCGTGTAAACTTTCCATGGGCGTTGTGTAAAAGTCCTCAAGACTAAAAGCAGAATAATCACATCATATACATGGTACAAAAATAAATAGTCAACATAAAAATTTTAAAAGTAATATTATATACACTCATTTGTTGAAAAATCGTTTTTTTTATTTGTAATAAATATATTAATAGAATTATATAATTAATTTATGTTTATACATTATTTCTCAAAGATTTTTTTTGGTCGGTGTACCATAATTAACTAAAATACTTTTTTCATTAAATTTAATGATTCGAATACCATTCTAAATCTTATATTGACGAAAATAAAAAGGTAGAATAAAATTTCATAAACGAATTTTTTGTTTAATAATTCCTAAATATAAATAATAAAAAATGTATGATAATGCCATCTATTGACAATTTATTTAAATTAACGATAGACTGGAAAACGTTATTTTTCAAAGAAAGAAATATGATAACTTACATTCATAAATACGTATTTACACATTATATAATTACCATTCGGTGACTATTCACGGCATTGTGCGAAAATTTCGCACGGATCCAATAATTATGTAATACGTATTAATGTACAACTAGCGACCCGCCCCGACTTCGCACGGGTGCAATGTATTATACATGTAAACCTTCCTCTTGTATCTAGTAAAAAAACCGCATCAAGATCCGTTGCGTAGTTTTGAAGATTTTTATATATTTTTACTCTGCTGTAAAAGACTGAAGTACAGTTATAACTAAAATTTTAAAAGAACAGGGGTACAGGAACTTCGAAAAGTGTTACGACGTATTCTTCATTCCATATTTTTTAGAACCACATCAAAAGCTTGCGGTGTCGTTGTAGATTTATATGAACTATGACTTTCAAAAAAGTGCTAGTTTTTCTCTCCATAGTTTCCTGAACGACGCGATACATTGGGCTGTTGTTTCTGTCAATGTTCTTTTAGTTTTTAGAACCCGGCTTGACTTTGAAAAGCTCACCGTAATTAATATGACATTATCCCACAAATCTCACCCTGATTTATTGAGAAAGTCCCTCAAGAGTCATACTAGATATGGGGTTGATAGAAACAAACCTGCAGCAACATATATTTAAATAAAAATAGTTCAAAGTCTAACATATGTATAAGTGATATTTTCTATATGATGGTCCTTACAGGAACAACCAAAGTTGAATAGTATCCCAATTTGTATTGCAATTTTTCAAATTCGACTCTTTAGTGGATTTCATGTGTATTTTTCCTTATTGCGACGATGTGACACTTAAACTGGTTATCTTTAATTATCTAAGAAGACAAGTAAAGAATATTAACAAAAATTATCCAATTATGTTGTTGATAGGAAAATATGAACTTATGCTTAATCGTGTAATGGAGACAGACAATGACGAAGATAAGAATTAGGGACTGGTTAAGGTGCCTTTCAGTGTCCATCAAGTACTGTAAGTGCAAGTGACGCATCAACAGTGATTTACCTGAGGATTTAAACGGGGTAATTCGTTTATCAGCCAATATGTATGTATGTAATAAATGGTAATAATGTAATTAACGCTTGTTACTTTTTGGCGCTCTATACCTCAAATGCGTCAGCCGGTTTTGATGATTCTTACATCAATAGAAAGTCTTAGTTATGCGAGTGTCACTAATGTAAAGACATAATCAAAATTAAGTGTTATAGAGTAAATTTGAACACTTGAGATTCAGTATACCGATAATCGGACGCCATATTGTGACACCGAATAGAAAAATGTTCTGTTCGTTCCAATTGCCTTTTCAAAAATTTGAAACAAATTTATTACTTTTAGTCCTCGTATTTCAGTGACGATATTACAAGATATATTGACGAATAATATACATTTTTGATGTGAAACATCTATTGGTGCATGGTAGTAAAATCGACTGCTTTTTTGGCGTCACGGCTAAGGGCATGAGGCTCTGATGTCACCATGCCTCATCCATGCTGCCGCTTGAGACTTCCCTGTATGTTTGTGCCCGCATTTTTTTTAATGTTAAAAGTTGCCAAGCGAGCACATGGTTCACCTGATGTTAAGTAAATACCGCCGCCCATGGACATCTGTTACACCCGAGGGTTCCAGATGCGTTGACAACCTTTTGAAAATTGTGCTCCGGCCACCTTACTTAACTTACGACACGCGAAAGTATTATATTTCCACTTTACGCCTGACTTCTGTGAGGCTCGTCCGGCTTGATCATATGGTGGCCCTACAATGAATAAAAAAAAATATGTGAAGTCTGCCAATCCGCAGTGGGGTCGCATCGTTGACTATGTCCTGATACCCTCTTTACAGAAGAGGCCCTTGCCCAGCAGTGGGACATTTACAGGCTGTTATTTTACTTTACTTTTATTGGACAAGCAAGCGATACAGACTGCAGCTATGGCTTGGGTATACGTGAGTCGCTAGGGCATCTTAAAATAAAAATTAAAGGGAAAAAAACGTGTACAAAATTTAAGTGTAAACAATTTCAAACATTTTGTAAAGGTTACACTAATAGAAAGGGCCTATTACCATGTCGAAGAATACATTGAGGACAAGGATGTGTGGAAATGACTCTTGCTCTGCACTTACAAGTCCCCTGGCTTATACCTATTTTTGTGTACTTGCAAATTGCTTATCGAAATTGCAGGCATAATTATAAAAAAATTACGTAATATGAAAATGTATTTGAATTTTTAATTTTAATTAATTAATGTTATTTGTATTTGAATCTTAACATTTTTTCCACCTAAGCTACTCTGTGAAAATAATAATAATAATAAACAAGTGGTACGGTACCCTTCGTGCGCGAGTCCGACTCGCAATAGGCCGGTTTTTTTTTATAAATATACATATTATGGTCATAGTACGACAACTGCTTTAGTCAGAATCACTGATGACATTCGGCTGGGTATAGATAATCAACAAGTTACAGTCTTTACATTGCTTTACTTCAGTAATGCCTTCAATACTGTAGACTTTGCTGTTCTACTCGCTCCCGCACTCGTACTTGCTTCTGAGGTGATTGGTTGGTTTCGGCGACGCCGCAGCGTGTACGAATTAAAGATACTTTTTCTGACTGGTCTGCTGTCAAGACTGGCGTCCCGCATGGTGGCGTGTTGTCTCCTCTAATGTTCTCTACTTTCTTCAATTCGATTTGGTCCCGCATTACTTCTCTCTACCATCTATATGCAGACAATTTACAAATCTACTCCAAATGTAAGATTGCGGAACTACCCAATATAATTGGCTTAGTTAATGAGGATCTTATCCGCATTTCTCATTGGGGTAACTCGTTTGGGCTTAAAGTAAATCCATCGAAGACCCAAGCCATTATTGTTGGAAGTACGAAATTAATTTCTTCTTCTTCGAAATTAATCTTTGTCACAGCTCCCTTCAATCATATTCGAAGGAACAGTTATTCCATACAGTGACAAAGTAAAAATTTTGGGCATTATATTTGACCAGACCTTATCTTGGATGCCGCAAATTAGTGAATTAAGCAGGAAGATGTTTGCCGCAGTTGACTCACTTACTCCGAAGATTGCGTAATGTCCTCCCCATTTTTACTAAAGTTGCGCTAGCTCAGTCTCTTTTTTTACCGATCCTGGACTACGCGGACACTTGTTA